ATCCCCCCCCCCCCCCACCCACTCAGTGTTATCTAGGGTACGCACATGTATGTTCCCTCTCTTTGAAAGCACCCCTCTATCTCTGGTGGGTAAAGTCAGTACGGGCCGGACTTTGTTGCGTGAAAAGTAACTCTTTATCGGAAATTTTGGGAACATAAATTCGGTCCCTCCGAGGGAGGGAGGGAGGGAGGGGGGGGGGGAGGCTTTCTTCTTTATCTTTTCTCTTCTCTTTTCTTTTCTCTTCTTTTTTCCTTTCTCTTCTCCTTTCTTTTCTCTTCTCCTTTTTTTTTCTCTTCTTCTCCTTTCTTTTTTTCTCTTCTTTTCTTCCTTTTTTTTCTTCCTTTTTTTGCGCCGCCAATAGGGGGGGCCGCGGCCGTTTCGGGCCCCCCCTGGATCCGCCACTGAACACCGCATAATTTTGACAACATATATACATGTATCTATATTAATCTTTTATGAGGAGGGGGTGTAGGGTACTCTATCAAAATGGGTACCGTTTTGGAGAGCGCGGTTGAAACTGAAAAGTCTTTAAACTTTTAAACTTTCTTCTTAATAATTATGTTCCTCGAATATGCTCGACCCCTTATCATCGTATATTACACACCGGTTTGGGGGCACAAACAGTAGAGACCAACGTTTCAAGCTGTTTCACATCCTACAATGATTCCATGATATCTTACAGTGAATATTCGACAAATATGGAATAGAAGCACCTAAATATTACATGGCCAAAATAGGTGATTGGGTGTTTTGTTGACAACGTAGGCCTAGGTGCGCACCCGATCGAAGACTGCTTACATCCAGTACATGAAAGGTTATTAAATCTTTTTACTTTTAAGCATTTCCCTCGACAATACTGGACCCCTTAGCTTATGCTTCCAGGGGGGTGTTTCACAAAGATCCTAAGTTGAACTTATCTCTAAGTTGGACTTAAAAAATATGGAAAGCCATTAGCATCTTTGAAAATATTTTGTAAAAATTTATTTTGAAAGGCATTCATTGTTTATTGAAATCATTCATATTTTCTATCATCAAGGAGATTTCATGTTCTGGATGTGGAATTAATAAAAAGTCTAAAATACTTGAATTTCTGCTTTTGAATATATTTCATTTAAAGACTCCAATGGCTGTCCATAATTTTTAAGTCCAACTTAGAGTTAAGTTCTACTTAGGATCTTTGTGAAACACCCCCCAGGTCTTCTCAAGAATCAACTTGGCCAAATATTGATCTTTCTGTCTCCCCTACCGTTTCGCTGACGCCGCCTCCAGTTGTACACATCCCTCAACAAACATCCAGTCGACCTTAACCGGTGCTCACGTGGAACAGCGAACCCATGTTACCGATTGACAGATTGGATTAAGTCTCGACGTCAGAAACTACTGCCATGTTCCCAACCCCAGACAGATATCTTGGTTATCATCTATGGGCGTTGTACGCAAGATGGGAAGAAAGCTCTTGGCCTGATCGCTTTCGATTCTCTTCGTCTGTAGAGTCCATTGTTTCCGAAGATAACGTCACTAGAAAACTCGTATGGCTATTGTCCAAGAGCAACATGGTTATATTTTCATATTTGCATTTGTTTTAATATGCAACTTGGAATATAAGGCCGACATAAGTAACATTAAGTAAAACTGTTACTTCTTTAATGATAATGATAACAGCAATGATAAGGGTTTTCTTCTAAAGCGATATAACTAATTCAAAACTGACCAAAGCGCTACAGAATAGATTGTTTAATACGTGATTCACTAAAACTGAGTCAACAAAATAATATTAAAGCTATCGTTTTGCTTGAGATTTGTTTTACATTGCCATCAACGATATCAAAACGCTTAATACACTGTGGTGCATTTGGAAATGAGTATGCGTTATTTGATTATCATAGGTGTAAAGACTATGCTTATACCGCCAGACCTCCCCCTTCCTGTTACAACATACATGTATGCTTGTTTCATTGCTATCAAAACGCTGAATAGGCTCTCTGAAAATGATTATGCATATTTATTCGATTAACTTTATTAGGCACATGCTAGTTATATAGAGAAAGCTCATACCAGCAAATCTCCCTATCGTAAAGGCTGAACAGGCTTTCTGAAAGAAAAATGATAATGCATTATTTGATTAACATAGGTGAGAAGACTTGGCTTATACCAACAAATCTCCCCTCGCCGTTATACTCCGTAGCTATCTCATACCGATTAGCGCTTCTGCCCTCTCTAATCAGGGTTATCCCCGTACCCCTCATAGATTAACTAAATTGCTCATGACGAGGCATTATGACCTTCCGTGATGTTCCCTGTCTTAATCCTACATAATTAGTCAATTGGCCCAGAGTACCTTCTACCAGTTGTGTTCATACAAGATTCTTAGCACGTGAGGTTCATGATTAACTTTAATTAACCTGAGGAAGATCGGCTGAAGAGTAGTGCCAACCATTACATAACCACTATTTCTACGAAAAGGCTCCCAAAATATATGATATACCAAACCACTATATATTACCTTCTAATCATGCTGCTGGTATTATAATGTATTACAATATGCAATATGCGCAAACTCGTGATTTAAACAATACAGTACATGTGTTTGATTGAAGAAAACAAATCTTAATAATTGAATTGTGTAAACTTATCACGAATATAAATGAATGCATGATATTGAAGTCAATTAGTAAATACATGAATGAGAAAGAGAGCATATAAAGAAGGCAATATATCAATTGATATTTGGAATGAATAGTGAATAGGTAAAGTGAATATAATTATCCTTCTTGCAAATCAGAAGAAAAATAGTTACATGTTTTATTGTATATGTATATATTTAGAATATCGGTGATAAATTCACCAGTCTAAACACACAAACATAACCTACCGTGTTGCGTATCTTTAATGGAGCAAATATTCCTACACACGAACCTGCGAATTAACAAGGATTAAAGAAAGCAGAAAATCGCGAAATCATGATCAGAAACACATTTAGTGAATGGAAAAGATGTCCAGAAGTTATTTGAGTGAAATGAGTCTTGGAAAGGCCTCCCTTATAATCCAACGAAGATTTATTCTTCAATTATCCATGAATAAGATATATCCACTTTGTCACGGTTACTCACTTGACATGCTTGAAGAACTGAGATTATTCTTGAAGAACTGAGATTATTCTTGAAGAACTTAGATTATTATATGTTTCCTATATTATGTAATAGTGATTCTAACATTCAAAGGGTGTTATTTTTCAGAACGGTCATGTTCTATGTTTAATCTAAACTACTCACACACAAAAAACAGAAACATTTTTATCGCAATTCGACCTTTCATTTTTTTAACAATTTTTGATTGTTTTTTTATTTTTAATTTTTAGAATAAATCAATGTATAATGTATTGAGTTCCTGGCATAACTTGAAGTTCTAGCTTCGATTAATTACACGATAAATGAAAGATATTCTAATGTTTCTTGTATGTCGTGATTTTAGAATACATGTTGTTCTTTATTGTTATTACATGTATGCCTACCAAGTATTCCGTAATGTATATACAACTACATTTATAATTGACGAGTAAAATCAATCAATCAATCGTTGTATTTCCAGTTTGTTTTATGAAATCACTTTTGACAGCCACCCAACATGTCTATCATGTACATACTTCAGAACCAATTTGACATAAATGATTTCTCAAGTTCATTTTACCCGATATGGTGACAATAATATACGCGATGGCTCAGTAGTATAACAATGGTCTAGTAACCGGGAGGTCACTGGTTCGAGTTCAAGTCGATGCGCTGTAGTGCCCTTTGGTATTAAGGCATTATTTCCTATTCCCAAGTCTCTCGGAGAGGACTAAAAGCCGTCGGTCCCCTGATTGCTTACGTACAAGCATACATATGCTTTCTTAGCAGTCAGGTATACACAATTAATTTTAAAAATGTGAAGATAAATACAAAGGCTATAAGGGGGGTCACTTACATATTCCGTAATGTTTGAAACGGCGTGTGCTTACCGTGAATATGTTTATGACGAATGTGGAAAATGTGCATCATATCAACTTTTTAGTTCTTACGTGCATCTTGTGGATCAGTGCCAAAGAATGACTAATATCACGAGAACAATCTTAGACGAAAACATGATTGAGGCATGAATTCATTTAATGAATTATGGAGGTAGACAACTTCCTGCTCTGCTGTGCCACCCCTCCCCGTTTATCCCCATATATTCTTATCCCCCTCTTCCTTCCGGCATATCAGGAGTGGTATTTATGCTATTCGATGTAGCCCATACATTTTGTAAAGACATGTGTAATACAAGTTATTGTCTTGCGGCCCCACTGTACTACTTGAAGCTACTTGCTCCCTCTATAAAGAAAACAGGCATAATCGGTGACCATTGGTCCCCCATGATCCTCTTTTTCTTATGTTAATTGAGAGCCGAGTTGATGAGATAGCCACCTTTCAGTGACCACCCTGGGTGGTCTAATCCCTTCTAGCCAAACTAGTACAGACGGCCTTTAAATGACTATATAGCGTTGTGTTTCATTTATGTTTAATGAGCAATTAGTTAAATTAATATATACCTCTCCCCGTCCACACTCCCATATTTGACACTTTATACTCGGATTTCCCTCCCCTCCCCCAAACGGTTGCAAGCAGTCTGAGATGACCGTGGCGAAGCATTGCGCATCTAGAGACAAATCTTAAACTGCGCATGCGCTCAATGACCGCCAAACTTTCGAGCAATAACGTGCGTGCAGAGATTGAGTCTAAAGCTCGTCATAAACATACGAACCAACCGGTACGAGACGCTTTCCACGAATTATCTCAGACCTAAACAGGTGTTAGTTTGAATATAATTCCAGGGCGAGTGTAATCGAAATGGCTGCAAAATGAAGCATTTATAATTTGTATTTATTCAATGCGGTTAAAATGATCGTCTATAAATGAAAGGAAGGGACAAATGCAACCGTCTGCTTGTGGTCAACTTGGCTTAACTTGAGAAACAAGTTTCTTTGCAATCAAAAAGTAGCGAAATCGTGAACGTGAGTGAATAAATGTGTGTGTCAAGTTCGCGAGCTGCTTGTCGACTTTATTGAACCAACTTTATTGAACCAACACAGATCATCACGGGTGGGAACAGAACAATTTCCTGCGTTGACAAGGTAGGCGGGGTACTGAAGACAGAGACGATCGCCTTTCTGTTTTGAGTGCTAATTGTTCCGACTTCACACTCAGTGTCATCATTCGCAGACTCGACTCGATAGTCTTGCTGCCGCTCGTTTAACTTTAGGGGGCAGCTAAATAAAGACAACTCGGGAATTAGGGACAACAGAACTTTTGCGACGTGAGATCTTTTTTGTTGTTGAGGAGGAGCTTCACGCGGATTGATGACTCCGTCGCTTGGCGGCTGGATGAAAACGCGCGAAAAGAAGGGACCACAAATTATTTAGTCATCGCGATTACTCGATGGATGTGAACTTTACGTTATCGTCTGCTTTACGAATCGCTTCTTAGGTCGTGTCTTATTTGTTTTTAACGCTCGGATTGCGCTGCATTATGACTCCATATCTGTGATAATTACAGCACAATGACAAATAGTATGTAATCAATGAGTATTGTTTTTTTTTTCGAGTATGGCTGGGATCTGTTAATGCCAATCATTGTCGTTTACTAGCATGACTGGAATGTGACAGTTTATTTGACAGCTACCTCGCTCCTTCACTTCAAATCTTCGGAATTTCGGAACCCTACAGTTCGCTTGGCGGCCCCCACTGCTACTGAAAATTAGGCCTACCCGTCACTCTTGGATCATGAATAAAGGTACGAGGACGTCTTTATTAGGACCTAAGTATAATATGTTGTGAGTTATGTGTCAATTACGATAGGCGGAAAATGAACGTACTGTAACATACATCGGAACTTCGTTAGTAGCCCCAGCGGTTGTTTAATGGCTCGTCCGTAACTTTGATTAAACCACTGACATGATTGACATCTAGAACAAATTCCCTTGCCGCTAAGCGAATTTCCTGTCTTCAAGTTCTACGAAAAACCCTACGAAGAACAATATGAAGTAATGCTTCGTTATCAAGACAAGAATGCCAAATTTGCCTTTATGTTTTATTTACTTTGAATAATTTTCTTGTGAATAAACTTAATAAATTTAATTTGTTTTACTCAAAGACTGCAGCATTGGGTTCGTGCTTTACCGTTTCAGAACTTGATTTTAATGGGTCTATATCTGTATGGATGTATTCCAAGCTCTCTTCACTGAAGTGCAAATTTAACAATTTTATGGACTTATTTTGAAACACAAGCTTTCGTCATCTTAAAAAATGGAAAACAATAGTCGGAGCGTTGACGGTGACTTGGAAAACCTCGTCATCAAAATGGACGACGTAGAGGATGCCGATCGCGAAGTCGTAAAAGACTGCTACGACGATCTCGACGATGATGACGTCGACGATATGGTGCCTGGACCTACCCCAATCAGTACTAACAGCACCAGGCTTGAGATCAACCAGCACGACCACGACTGTATACCAGTTGAGAAAATTGGGAGTTACACGGACATGATTTTCGCTCTGTGTTTGACAGCCTTGGTAAGTACATCATTATGTCGGTTGTGACAATTGCTCCAACTTGAACACAGATTGCAAAATTATAAAATGTCACCTCAATACCTGTATATCCCATATTGTAATTCCCATAGAAATCCTGTTCGCATTACATAATACGTCAATGGTGAATGTAATTTATGGGCATTTCACGTATGTCAGTAGGTGGTGGACAAGTCTATTGAAATTGCATGGGGTTAATTGGATTTTCGAGAGTCCTAGCAATCGTTTGTTTGCCAAGGTCAATTTTTCACAATTAGACGACCTTTTAACTTCATCTCTAGACGAAATACTGTACCCAACCCTTAACTTACCATGCTATACGTCACCCTAAACTACACGTGTGATGAAAACTAAAGCCCGGAGGAAAAGTTGGATAACATCGGTTTTCCCAAATACCCATTTTGCAATGCTATATCGTATTCTGGTTTCATGGAAAACAGTTATATTCGTAATGAATAATATACATATTTTGAGGGATATATACTAAGCATTACAATTTAGCTACAATTGTTTTGTTAATGATAAAGAGCAATTAACTTTGTCGAAGGCCTTGTCTACTAATCATTGGATTATGCCCAGTTTTGTTTCGAATATACATTCATTAATATCATCTCCCAACACTAGAGCAAATCCTTTTTTAGGGGAGGGGGAAGGGTGTTGTAGTTATCGTATTATCTTTATATGTTTTAATTGGTCTTTGTTTTGTTTGTTTCATTGTTGGTCTGATTTTTCTTTGTTTCGTTTGTGTGGGTTTTCTTGTAGAGGTGTATCTAAGTTCAATATCTAACTTCAATAGCTTTGAACAAGCATACAATGACATATTTTACAATTCGCACACGATTTCCAACAGTGAAGCACATTATCATAAGATCAATAAAGTCATACATTTTTAGATATTCCAACAGAATTTGGTTATGACTTATGACCAAAAGAAATTCTTGTTTCTTCGGCTTAAACATTTTATCAATAATGCAAATTAAACAAAGAAACCTCCTATTTTTAAGGGTTCAGTGCTTACATTGCGGTCTAATATTTGTTTGTCTTATTCTATTAATTGTGTTACTCTTGATTTTTAATGATTCTCCAATACATGTCAATATAATGATTCGGTTTTGATTCAATAAAACATAACCTCCAAAATATGATGCATATTATAATTGCTCCTGAGTTGACTATCTTGTTGAAAGTCTTTGCTTTCGTAGCTGGTCATATTGGTTGCATCTACACGTTCCTTTTTCTGGAACCGATGCAGGTAGTGTACATAATAACAATATTTTGACTGTCTTTGGGTGAATCTTACCACAGACAAAGTGAAACTTTTAGTCACATCCGAGAAAAAAAACTCACTTTAGGATAATATTGGTTACTGTTTCCTCCATAGATTGATCAAGCGAGTGTTTCTCATTAATTTTCTGGCAGGCCGTTAGATGGACACAGTTATTTGTTTACTTATTTATTCTGTTGTTGTTCCTGGTATAGTTTGTCCACAATTGTTTGAGATAATCTCAGGCTTGATTAGTTAATAACTAAGAATAACATTTGATCTTTGTTTAGCTTGGCAATGTTCCTAGGAAAGAACTAAAATAAGTAACCTTTTCTGTTTCAATTAATCACCGTCCCTCCTATAGGCTACACCCCAAGTCCAATCTTCTCCCCTCTATCCCTCTCGCGTATGAGGCCTGTTCCTCCCTAGTTAATGACACTTTATCCACTAATTATTCTGCAACTTCCCTTCTCTCTCTCTCTCTCTCTCTCTCTCTCACACACACACACACACACACACACACTCTCTCTCTCTCACTCTCTCTCTCTCTCTCCATCTCTCTCTCCTTCGCTCTTCCTCTCTCTCTCTCTCTCTCTCTCTGCCTCCCCTCTCTCTCTCTCTCTCCCTCTGTCATCTCTCCACCTTCAATCATATCTGTATTAATCGTGCATCATAAATATAGGCCGAAAACTTCCGAAACTGTATTCGCCCGCCCCTCCCATTCTGCAGATGGATAAACGAACAAGAGTATTAAACAAATACATGTAAAATTTGAACAATCAAAACCAAGAAAGGGTAATCAGATTACCAGTAAATATTTACATTCCTTATGGAGTGATTTATGCCTACATTCTTACTTGCATGCCAGTACCCCCAATAGTCTATAGTGAAAACTTTTTGTGTTTTAGAGCCAAAAGATATTTATAAAAGAAATCATGCCAATCATTAAAAACAAACTAATAAGAAAATAATGTTCTTAGACATTCGAGTTTGATTGTTGATGTCCCCGCACAGCTGGGAGCATATAATCGCAGATGAAATCTTAAGTTTTAACAGTCCTGTACTTGGCAAACTCCGTTTCCACGTAGGAAGTTTGCCCAGGCACCCGTGGAAACTTGGCAGATTTCACAAATAGCCATCAGCAAATTAATATAATGGTACATTTGTGAATCCGGTTTTTCATTTATCCATCGTCTGATGAAAGTATAAATCAGTACCAAAGCTCTTTGTTTGTTGTTGTTCTTGCTCCTGTTTTTTTAACGGTTTAAGTGTAATTATTTATTTCCATATTCATGAATCTTGGCAGATTGCCAAAACGCAAAATCTAATGGTACATGTTTGTATCAGTTGAGTGTATTCATTGTCTGATGGATTATATCAAAGTTTTGTTATTATCCGGTTGTGTATATTGTCTGGAAGAGGTCCCATTTTCCACACTCATGCATCTGTTTAACACTATATGCCCTCTGTGTTTGGTAGTGAAATGATACAGAACGACCTATATAAAAGGGACACACGGCATGCATACACAAAGGGCGACGTCCTCTTCTAAATTACCTTAAGGGAAATTCGGATAGTATTGTGTTACATTCCACAGAGGCCAAGTATATCATAAATGATAAGAAAGAGTGGATTGTTATCTTCTTGTATTCTTCAACAGCTCATAATAGGAAGTATGGAACAGACTCGGGGAGTCTTCCTCGTTATCGAGATCAAGCGAGCATTCGCCTTTAGAGTGTTTTGAGTAGTCACTCGTCTGCCATGCCTTAGCTGTGTTGTTGTTGTAAAGTGGTACATTCATTTGACTCGCAATCCAAGACCTGAGGGTTCGAACCCTAGCTCAGCACTTACGTCATATGGCAAGACATTAATCCACATTAATTTGCCACTCTCTCCCCAGGTGTAAATGGGTACCTTGCAATTGCTTGGGTTATGGGGAATATGATAATTGCATGGCCCTCGAAAGAAGAAAAGCATTGATGCTCATGAGGCTACCCTTGGTAATCAACATTAATATTATCATCATTAAATATAATTTTATTATAATTATTATGTCTATGTATCGTCCTTGCTATCATAATTATCTTGTATTGATTAGTATTATTAGTATTATTATAACCATTATTATTATTTTCATTACAATTACCCGTATTATCATTATTATTGTTGTCATTATCATCATCAGTACTATCATAAGTATTGTTGTATACTATTCTTACAAATCGTATAAAGAATCAGGAGTGAATGAAAGTTGTTCGTCTTATACAAACTCCTAGAGGAAATGAATGGTCCATTCATTTTGTATAATGTCTATCACATTCTTTCCCATCTGCTCAATATAACAGCAACAACAAAAAACATTAAACATGGTGTAAATAATATTAAGTTATTCAAAGTCCTAGCATGATGCAACAAAGTTCAGAGTTCCTACCGTTAAAGGTTTGAGTATGTCAACACAGCATACCAGGACAGTCAGGAAACGAGTTATAGGATTCGAGTTCGCGAGGATACGGAGAGGGGTTGGAGAGGGGTTGGGAAGGGGGTCGGAAAAGGGGGAAGTTGTGGAGTTAGGCCCTGTTAAGAACTTAACTAACCCTACTTCTGGTGTAGTATCAACTTGCAACAGACAGACTGGTAGATAAATGCGTACATTTCTGTGATATTCTCGTCGTTTTACATGTACATGGAAGATTAGAACTTGAAATCAAACAAAAATACTAATAGGGGATGAACAAATTGGCAAAGTATAGGCATAGTCATGAAATACATGCTTTCCGAAACACTTTATCCCAAATATCCAATACATAAGAAGGACTATTCGATATTGCCTTGTCATTGAAATGTGTCATTGAACATAATCATGCATCACTTGTGAATAGGTGAGTGTATTTTGGTTAGACTGCGTGTATGACAAACATATTAAACACAGCGATATGTTTTAATTTCACATGTTCGAGAAATCTCTTCATGCATCGTTTGGTATTGAAATGGACAAAAATACCCCCAAACGTTGCTTTATTGCCCTTCTCATGTGCCCCTCATGTCGCTATACTACTACTACTACTACTACTACTACTACTACTACTACTACTACTACTACTACTACTACTACTACTACTACTACTGCTACTACTACTACTACTACTACTACTACTACTACTACTACTACCTCTACTACTTCTACTACTACTTCTACTACTACTACTACTACTACTACTACTACTACTACTACTACTACTACTACTACTACTACCACCACTACTACCACCACTACTACTACTACTACTACTACTACTACTACTACTACTACTACTACTACTACTACTACTACAACTACTACTACTACTACTACTACTACTACTACTACTACTACTACTACTACTACCTATACTACTTCTACTACTACTTCTACTACTACCACTACTACTACTACTACTTCTACTACTACTACTACTGCTACTACTACAACTACTACTTCTACTACTACTACTACTACTACTACTACTACTACTACTTTTACTACTACTACTACGACTTCTACTACAACAACTACCACTCCTGCTTTATCGTCCACTACTAACAAGACCACTACCACTTTGTCCACTTATACAAATAGCACTACCACTACAATATACAATAATATGGTAATATTATCTTCATATAATAATGAAATAACTTTGTTTCCAAATACTAATTGTCTTAGATTCGTTAATATTTCTGTTCAGATCCCCTTATCGTATGTGTATGGTGTTTATATTTTTGCAATAATCTAGGATTTAAAAAAAAAATCTTTTCTTATCTACAGATATTTCCGTTAGCAACTTCAACAAACCATTACGAAGTGGCAGAGGTAAGTACATGTATTAGTAAGTGATGTCCTAAGCTTTTAGAATGCACAATGAGTTAATTCACACTTTATATAATTAAGACTTGCATAATGATTAGTCCCACTCGCTAATTGTTTGGGAATTGCATGTTAAGCATCATCACGCACGACGTCATAATGTATTACCTTTTTATCTGCATGTTAAAGGGATAGTTGAGTTCTGTTTTCAGACCGCAAATGCCTTCAAAGTGCATGGTTATTGCTCTTATTCTTATCTATGACATTTATAGTGCCCTTTTAGAACCTAACATCGCTATGAAGGTAATTTTAGACCCCAAAATGTGTGAAATTTAGCCAATACGATCATACCAATTCAGCTCCACTTTAAAAAAAACACGGTGACCGTTAATTAATTATTGAATTCGAAATAACAATACATAAGCCGGCTAATTGTGGGTTATATAAGGAACACGAAAATGCCAACAAAAACCAACATCGGCATTGGCTGAAATACAACGTTAAAGGAGTTATTTCGTTTTTTTCAACGGTTTTTCAAATTTTTCAAAATATCTAATATTAGTGGTGGTACACAAGTATTAGAAATTGTTATATTTCAGCCGTCTCTGAACCGATTTTGATCAAACAAAGATGATTTTGTCATTTGAATATGATGTTCTTTCAAATTTGACACTCAGTTTTTCATTATCTCACGAAAAATTATTTTGTGTAGCGCCCTCTGCAACAGAACTCAACTATCCCTTTACTGATTTGAAAACAGATAATCAGAAAGTCCAAGATCACATTTAATTTAATAATAATAATAATAATAATAATTGTAAATTTATAATGCGCAGTTTCTATATGTATATACTCAACTGCGCATGACATATTGGATATTATTATTACCCCGGCTTTAGCTGTGCTGCCATTATAGCGCTCTAGCATTTCAAGGAATAAATTCCTACCGGGTACCCATTTACTTCACCTGGGTGGAGTGTGGCAAATGTAGATCAATATCTTGCCAAAGGACATTAGTGCGGCGGCGGGACTCGAACCGCGGACCTTGTGATCGACAGTCCGGCGACGTATCCACTCGACCACAACACCTCTACAAATTTACATATTCAACCAACGCAGAGACGCGGAAGCGTTACCATTCAATAGTGTTGTTTGCAGAAGCTGGTAAGATACGGGAAGGACTCTCGAAAGCAGATAGAACGAGAAAGGAAATGCTAATACGAATCATTTCTAGATAAATGAGTGTAACATGATTGCATTCATGATTTAATCCCGGCATTATATTCATTTCCGGTTGGCTTGGATATCATCTCTTACCGTGTTATTTATAGAGCACTTTCAAAAACATTCAGCTCCTTCAGTACATCGCGTCTGATTGAAAGCATGAACAACTATTTTTACTATCTTCCCATGTTGTTTGGTCATATGCTTTTAAAGAAATTCGGAAGTATTTATAATTTTCCTTTAAGAAATAGTCACTTGACATTAATACCTTAATGTTATTTTGCTTGACATACATAATTGAACCAGGGGCCAAGCATATTTAGTTAATTACATGTATTAATATGCTCTGAAAATGGATGAAATGTTGTTAATAAACAGTTCCAGTTTTGTCACATAATTTCTAAATTAGACAAGCATACCTGAAAATAATGTGTAAGATAAAGAATGAATTGATTGGTTAATAGATTTATTATTTGACTGACTAATTGATTAACCGTTTATTCAGTTGATTGATTGATGTTTGTCAAATGTAATTAATAACACTTACCTTAACACTTTTACCATAAAATCGAATGATTAGATGATAAATTGGATGGTATTAAGAGTGTAATATTGTGTTGATGAAGATATTATCAGTTCGAATGGTTTGCAATCTCACATCTACTCGTTTGTATTTCTGGTCATAACTCCCAAATTATTCTTTTCGATGTGGCACTAAAACCCTTTCCATATTGCCACTCTCCACCCAGATGTAGTAAATGCGTACCTGGTAGAATGTTATTCCTTGATTACTTCCATCGCCTTAACGGTATACCCGAGGCTAAAGAAAAGCGGTAATAATAACAATTTATAGGCGCCTAAGGCATCCCCTGGGATAGATAGGTACCCATTATGAATAACGCAATCATTATTAAATTTGTATTATTACCATTATTATTACCATTATCATTATTATTATTATTAGTACTAGTATAGTAGTAGTAGTAGTAGTAGTAGTAGTAGTAGTAGTAGTAGTAGTAGTAGTAGTAGTAGTATTAGTAGTATTAGTAGTAGTAGTAGATGTAGTAGTAATAGTAGTAGTAGTAGTAGTAGTAGTAGTAGTAGTAGTAGTAGTAGTAGTAGTAGTAGTAGTAGTAGTATTGTAATCATCATCATTACTGTCATTATTATCATATCCTTATGATTTTCCCCAAAGGATTTAAGAGACATCCTTGCACAGGAGTTTGCCAACATCGTGGTTTACGTAGGCTCATACATCATGCTTCTTTCTGTGTGGCAGCAACACTGTTGGTAAGCCTCTTTTTTTTAATTTTCCTTCACAAAATTAAAATAAACTTATCATAAAATATTTACAATATAGGAAGGAGGCAAAATTCCCTAAAAGCACAGGGCTTGTGGTAGGGTTGCCATACTTATAATTAATGGTCCTCCTAAAGCTACCATTTTGCCTACTAGCTCTGCAGTTAGTTCATTGATGGTTATTAACTGTGAAAATGAGGAAAGCATCGAACTAATGTGATTATCGCTTTCAGGAGATATACGCATTACGAACAATTATTGAAAAGGAAAAGAAGGTAATTATCACCTTGACAAGCTCGGTCATGTGAAAAGATTGAGAGGTAAAACGTTTAGGCCTATAAATAGTAGTAACGGTGGTACCGATAACCATAGGTAAATAGTTGATAATTAATGATATTTGGGATACGATATTTTACTGACCTGGTTTACTTTCGATTGGTAAAAACCCACCCACACCATTCGATCTATTTAACCTTTTATCGTTTATTTATTGAGCGTGTCTGCTAAAAGGAAGTATACTGTTATACTCTTGCAGGCGCGTACGCAATGGGTGACCCCAAAACTTGACCTTACCCCCCCCCCCCCACGAAAAGAAATATAGAACGGCCGAATTTTCTAATTTTGGGACCAAAAAAAAATGCCCTTCAACCCCCACCCACCGCTTATTCAGCGGCTGGCTGAGTCGTTGCGAAATTATCAGCGCGATTTTCAAATTTTAACCCCCCCCCCCCCTCGAAAAAAATCCTGCGTACGCGCCTGTACTCTTGTATAATATATTATAATTCATTATATCAATATTTACTACAGGGTTTATATGACATCTATCGTTCATTTCCCTTTTCATATCTGTACCTTCCGTGAACATGTTGTGCTATATTCAACGCTTATCTAAATTGTTCATATTGGATTAATAAAAAGTAATCGTTTGTGAGTGACGAAGTGGTGTTACTCTTTTTTTGCAGGGTTTTTGCCGGCTTTGAACAGATAGGGGATACAATCTCCATCCTTAACGTGGTAAGATGCATTTGATATTTAAATCTTCAACATTTTGTTATCATATCAGTACCGGTCGTATCCAGATGAATAAGCGACTTCAGAGATAGCATTAGGGACTTTTAGATTCGCACGAAGACAATGGGGATTGCTACGATCGACGTCCTTTTAATGCACTGCCTTGAATGGACGTCACACGTATCAGTCCACGCAAATCTAAAAGTCCCTATTTGTACGACCTGAACCGCACCACTGAAATTATAACCATAGATATTTTACCCATGGAGACGCCCCACTTGGTGCATTTTAAAAGAAAACAATTACTGCCAAAGTGATGGAGGTGCTTCATCAACATTAGTTTGCCCTCTTGAAAAGAGAATACTTCCACCTGTGTTTCATAGAATGAACCACCGGTGCATAAGTGAACACTGATTGCATAGCTTTCATCTGTCGTCTCGATGAGTCTACCGTTTTGTAAAAATGACCGTTATAAACCGCACATGCGCAGATAGTATCCCCGAAGTGGCTTATTGAGGTGGGATGCAAAATAAACTCACATTGTACAAAATGTAAATATTTAATTATTTCATGTTTTAAACAGTATTTATTCTCATCATCTTTATGCTTAATTTAAAGTTTGAGGTATTTTGTAACCTTTGAAATCACGCTCGCAGCTCACCAATAATTTATTTGCATATACTTTATGTCGGCAAACGTGGCATCACTTTTATATTATTTAAATTCCATACATCGCAAAACTGGTGCTGTTGAAATCTTGTTTCTTTTTATTTTTAGTGGGTTAAAAATGAATGTTTTTCTCTCTTCCACATATAGGTGTTCCTGCTCTGTGTAACTTCACTGCCTTACTTTGTAAGTATACAAGATTTTGTTTGTATATAGGCCTACCTCATTCACACCGCTATACAGACTCCAAACGCCAAACCGACCCGATCTTGGAGGAGTAGTGTTTTTATTTTGTTTGGTCTGTGGTCGGTTTGGCATCGGTTTGGCATCGGCTCCGACTGTTTGACTGTGGAATTGCTTTGAAAATTAAACAAATCGAGACTTTAACCCTGTAATGTCTAGGTTTGTTATGCGGAACATTATGAGGCTGAGACAACTAGACGTATATTGTATGTGATAAACATGTTGTGCTGTAAACAGACTGGATAACATATAAGGGTAGACTTACAGCCTGGAGAGAAATTGAAACTGAAAAAAAAAAATGAAAATTGAAAACATTGAATCGGAGAGGATGTAAAATTAAATGCAGGTGAAAATGAAAAATATGGTGTTTCCAGATTAAAAAATCTTGAAAATAAGTTGCCGAACGCATGATACGAAATATAACATTTTTAGCAAATGATAGACGAAGATAAAGACATCGGCGGGCAATTAAGGAGGAGGGGTTAATGGAAGGGGATGTGAGACCCGGATTCGAGAAAAATATTTTGGATGAAGAACTGGCAGCTAGGCCACCAGGCAGGGTATATCTGATTACATTTGCATTTAACTAATCTGAATATTAATCGCGACACGTACATCCAATGAGATTAGCCCTCCGGAACTACTTCACGGCTTAATCTGACACCCTCAATTACGCTGAAGATTTAACAGACGACTCACGGTCTGCGGAGGGATACCCTTCAGCAAGTGAGTCAGAAGAAAATAAACCTGATATCCCCTGAACTCCCCTTTTCATTGCTATCTATTCAAAATATTCTACCCCTCGTTTTCTGAACGATAATGATTTATTTGACAACTCTATACTTGTGATAGGGATGTACCCTTCAATTTGACGCGTTCTTTGAGAACAATACTAAACACTCTCGTGATTTAAAAATAATAATTTCGGGAAGGGTAACACTGCAGGTGCCGGTAACAATCCCAAAGGTCTTTACTTCCCCTAACTTCATATGTCAGTCATGATAATCGTTATATTACCAATATCAAGATCTCAAACATTACGACATCAGCCTATTGATTTTGATGCAAGATGCATAGTGGTAATAATAAATATGATGTTTTGCATCATTAACTATATGGTCTGGGAGATTTTTGACAGATTGCTTAAAGACCGCGCTAGCCCTGACGATGTGACATATCACGTGGTTCAGATAGTAGCCACCCAATGAGATGATACTGACAATGAATTTGCTCCTTTTGCAGTTCTCAAAATAACTAGTTAAGGCAGGGGTTCGTTTGAAGCAAAGGAAGTCATTATGATGGTGTTATTGGTGTCTAGAATATATTTCCTTATCATTACTTTCAAGTTAACGAATTCTGCTGAACAACTAAAAATCATAATTGAAAATTGTATAAATATTGAAATAAAAGATGAAGGGGGCTAATTTCCTTTTCCCCTCTCTACATCGCATGCTCGTCGTGGTAGATTTACTTCGTTCCTCTCCTACCGTCATCCCATCAAGGTCAAATTGAAATTAGTAAATCAGTCATATATAACAAAATAGCTTCAATGGTATATATAGGCGACTCTTACAGGTATGACTCGTTGTTTTATATTCCTGTCAAATTATCGACAAATTGCCAGAAAATGACGAAGTCAGTTGTTCAGGATGGAAGGGATGATCCCCCAAATTATGTCAGAACGATAATCCAGGCGATGATAAATGCACAAGTTAGAAAATTCGATTTAAACGTAAAGACGAGAACAAAAATGCGCCTCTGTTAATCATCGGAGTATGGAGCCATATCCGAAATGGGGTAATCTTATTTTTCCCTTTAGGAACTCTTGAAAAAAGCAAGCATGAGTGATGCATGCTCATCATCAAGAGTGGGTAGTATTTTCAACCGGGAGAATTATTATATTTCTGAAGTCAAACGTGTGAATTCGTTGGATGTGGGTGTGAAGATATTACGCGAGGGTGATGACTGTGATAATCCGCCATAATGATTGGGCATGCGCGCTATTTTTAACGCTAAACGCAAAAATCAAGGTGTGGGGCTGATCAGATCCCGCGTAATGCCTTGTGATAAACGGAAAGTTCCCCTGAAAGCATGGAGGTATCTGCTGGAATCCAGGGGAAAATGATGGAAAGGAAATCGGCGAGACCGTAGATTATTGCTTTAAATTCATGCTGTTGACTGTCTAGTGCGTATCGCATTCAACATGGTACCTGTTTTTGACTCATGATGATTTCATTAGAAAAATACATCAACAAAAATAGGATGTTTTCTATATTTTAAGGCATAATTATTATGATATATTCAAGGCAAACAGCATAAAGATATGATCATTTAGCCACGTGTACATGTTTTCATATAAGCTGATTACTACTGCAGAAATCACACTCAATATAGGAACCAACAACCACTGCAATACTTTTGGAGAATTCTTCATATTTTCTAGTCACATTATGTATTCTGATTTTACATGTTTGGAAAATGCGAGGTCACCAATAATAACAGTTAAATGGGGATGTTTGTCTGATCCAATGTCCCAACAAGTTAAAATTCTCACAAAAAAGAACAACGAAAAAAAAAACGATATCCCTTAGTCCTCTTTGATGACTAGAAGACGATCGCAAAGTATTTCCAGAATTGAAAGTAATATGTCATTGTAATGTTTGCGCTTTACAAGAGGTGGCGGACAAGACGAGTAAAATTGACCGAAAATGAACTTTCGAAAGTGTTTGCGATCGTCTTCAATTAGATATTAGATGAAAATGGCCAAAATTTTCTCTAACCTTTGTTTGTGAGAGGCTGAAGAAAATAAATCTCTGGCACTCGTTTATGATAATTTGATAATCAGTCTACCACTGACGTTAATAAAATCAACCTTTTGCAAAAGATAATCAGTTCTCATTCGAGAGTTGCCACTGCATACCTCAACAATAAATTAATGAAGGGAAGGAAAAAACAATTTCAGCGAGGGAAAAGGAATGTCGTCTTGTTCGGGAGCGTTCATGTTGAGGTAAATAGGGATAAGTCTTTCACGAAGGAAGTAAGAAAAGAATGAGTTTCACATCCGATAATTGTCCAAAGGCCATACGAGAATAGCGGTGATGAAAAACATCCAGGTCCTGATACCATTATTAGAAACATGTTGTCATGCCCCCCCCCCCTCTTCTCTTTATCTCTATTCCTCTCCTTTCTCTCTCTTGCTCTCTCTCTCTCTCTTTCTCTCTCCATCTCTCCTTTCCCCTTCTTTCTGTCTGCCTCCCTCTCTGTCTCCTTTCCCTCTCTCTGTCTCCCTCTCTGTCTCCTTCTCTCTCTCTCTCTCTCTCTCTCTCTCTCTCTCTTCTCTCTTTCTCTCTCCTTCTCTCTGTCTGTTAATCTCTCTCTCTTTCTCTCTCCCTCTCTCTCTCTCTATCTCTGTCTGTCTCCCTTTCTTTCTCATTTTTTCTGTGTGTGTGTGTGTGTGTGTGTGTGTCTCTCTCTCTCTCTTTCTCGATGTTTCCATCTCTGATTTTCTCTCGCTCTCTTTTCGGATATCTTCAGACAGTCTTGAATAGTTGTTGATTGATATCCAGGGATGGCATAGCTACCTTAAGATCAAAATATTCCATTTGCCTCAAAGTTCACCGTCTAAGCGATTTCCATCACATTCACGCGTGTTTCAATAGTCACTAGATCTCTATCCCATGAAAGAGGGGAAAATGAGATTTTCGGATTATTTATCTTTATGCTTTTAAGGCCTTTTCAATGATTCATCACTTTTGAGATGAAACCGGATCAAAAGTAACCAGATTTGAATTTCAGACAAAAAAAATTGTATACATGTAAATCTTTTTGAACCATTCGCAGTTGTCTGTCTCGTGTTATATAATTATTTTCTTTCTCCTCCCCTCCCCTTTCTTTCTCTCTCGCCTCTCTCTTTCCTCTCTCTTTTCTCTCTCTCTCTCTCTCTCTCTCTCTCTCTCTCTCTCTCTCTCTCTCTCTTGTAATTATTTTTACCAGGCATCTTTTACAGCCTCTCACCGGAGTACTCCTCTGTCCATTCAGCTGTTTGCATTCAGTCTTATGCTGATTGGTCTCACAATGGTAAGTTTGGAGATTTCTAACCTTAGATGCTTCTTTTAAATCATCTCTTTTTGTTGGCATTCATTTCATAATTGTGATTAGTTTCATATCAACAGGAAAGCACATTGAGCACGTCCCCGATCAAATCGAATGGTGACAATATAAGACCCCGTTCTCATTCACTTCGTTGGAGCGGTCTAACTAAGACCCGTTCCTCAGGAGCAGTTCTTAGGTGAGTGAAAACGGTCAAAAAGTGGTCCAGGAAGTTGACTTCTGGACCGCTCCAGAAAACCACCTCGGGAGGTGGTCTTGAGGAACGGGTCTTATTAAGAACGGTTTGGACCGCTCTAACGTGCAATGTGAACGGAAGCGTACTTTGACCGGAAGTGAGCTAGTGACGTTCCGTGCGAAATATGTAGTACGGTACATACGGTTTGTATTCCGCGCGCGAAAAATTTGACCTGCTGACCTGAGTTGCCATAGCAACAAGACCACTTTGACTCGTGGAGCGGTTTGAGCAATACAAAACTGCTAGGAGTGTGAACGCTCGCAAACCGTTCCTCAAGACCCGTTCCTCTGGAGCGGTCTAACTAAGACCACTTTCAAAGTGAGTGAGAACGGGGTCTTATACAAATTGTAAGCGGAAAATGATAGAAAAGGGAGGAATATCAGGTAAAGGTATTGTGAAAAAAAGGAAAATGATGAACCCTCTGCCCTCACTCCGTTGTCATTAAAAATAATTGTATTTCATCCATTTCATCGGTCTACTACCCCCCCCCCCCCCCCCACCTATGTTACTGGCTAGCCCGAAGCCATTCCACTGTAATCCAACTGATATCTTACATGTTTTGTAAGATATGAAATTCCATTTCACTTGTCTAAACTGTATAGGTAATTTACCAAAATTTTAAAACAATTATTTCACGTAGATTTGACACAAAGTTTAATTTACCAAATTTGGTATCAGGACGATTTCGAAGTTTACCGTCCAATGTTTGCTTGATATCATTATAGACGGATATTGCAGAAATAATGGCAGAATTGGCACTTGGTGCTCCCACTTGAAGGTGTTGAACTCTGGCTTGTAAATCTGTATATATATATATAATTCCATATTTATTCATGTTGTATTATACATTATATTCCTTAATAATATTAATAATGATTGTAAAAGTTATATGATATAATCGTAGCAATAATAATGATTGCAATAACAATAATATAAATGATGTTAATAATAATGACGAATATGCTTATACATATTTGTAACAGTGTGATATTTTAATGCTGTTTATGCTTTCTTATTGCTAGTTGTTTAATTGCTGCTGTTTATAGTCATTTATAGAATATAAATAATCCTTCAATTCTATAAATGATTCACATAATAACCACCTGTAATGTATACCGTATATTTTTTGTTCCATTTTTCATTATATAATATGAAACAATAATGATATTTATTTGAAACAATACACAGTCCATTTTAACCATTCCAAACCATTCCAAAATTGTATTACTGAATCTTAATATTTTCATAAACATGATATAGGGCTTACCTTTATCTGTACATATTATGATCGTGCAATAGCTTCGAGACTGGTTGTTGTTGAAATTGTATTCTCAATGAAAATTAATTTTGTTGTTGATGTTTTAATATAAATATTGATGTCAATGATACAAATTATAATAATCATAATAATCATGATAGTAACGGTAGTAGTAATAATGTTAATAACGATAATGATAATGATATTATATTTATTTTTTTACAACGTGATGATGGTGTTGATGATTAACAGTAATAATATGTTACTATACCTTTCATGAAATCACAACTTTTTAAAAAACGATAGTAACGGTAGTAGTAATAATGTTAATAACAATAATGATAATGATATTATATTTATGTTTTACAACGTGATGATGGTGTTAATGATTAACAGTAATAATATGTTACCATACCTGTCATGAAATCACAACTTTAAAAAAAAATTGTCATGCAATGTTTTTTTTTCCTTTCTTTTTCTCCCTCTTTCCTCCATTTTCTTCTCATCTATCTTTTCTTTTTAAAGCTTTATTTTAACCAAATTCAGGTGCATCTAGTCGGGTGTGGGGAGGAAGGTCTGCGGATCACAGTTATTTGGTTAACTTTTTCCATACCCGGGCAGCTCGACCGGATGCACCTGCTATTACAATATTTATATATGCTTTCTATTGATTTTTTTTAATCTCAATTCATGTTTGTTATATTGTTGTATTATGTGACTTGATTTGCCAAATAAAATAATAATAATAATAATAAAGAACTCGAAAACCTTGATTCGTTATACATGTTGTATTCTTGATTTCATTTAAAATATGTTTAGGCTGTGATTGTGGCTTTCGCATACAGAAAGAAAAAGATGCTGATCCGTGAGTTCCGTCAGAGAAGATATGTAAGTACTTTAACTTGTTAACATTTACTTTGTCAGTTTTACTTTAATTTCTTAAGGCAATATTCATAGTTACATGTATCACACCCATGTTAATTCAAAACACTGACGGTTTCGATTCCGCACTGAAGGAGATAATTTGAAAGAACATTCACTTTGCACCCTCACATTACAGGGTCAAAGTGATCAGTGGTGATTAGTCTGTTGGATTGTAGAATATTACTCTAGGAAGATATGTGGAACCGAGGGATTTATCCCGCCAGGGATCGGGGGGAAGAACTTGGGGTGAACCTTGGTTCTTTCCCAGGGACTGCAAGACCAGTTATCATCACCGACGATTTCGTGTTTTATGTCATGATTGGATGCAAATTACCCCCCCCCCCCATGTGCCTTGCTGCAGTCTATGTCAGGTTAGAAATGGAAGGATTGGGTTGTCCTGGTTTAAGATATATGGGTTGAAATTTATCATAGCGTATATTCTTTTTCCATAGATTTGTTATTTATCACAGGTTGATTTTCTAGGGGTTACTATGTGGAAGTAGTCCACAAGCAGAGACTCTAAGTTAACATTTCACCACGATACCTAAAGCATTAAGCTTAGAGTGCAGAGCATATGATTTGTTGTACTGTCATAATGCAGATTATTGTTACGCTCAAAGGCTGAAAATGTTTTTTGCTTGCAAAATAATGTCGTAGAGGGAAGTTATATCGGGGATTTTTATTTTATAAATAAAACTGGTATAGAGAGGTAACATTACTGTAATAGGAGAAATATTTTCAAGGGAGACTTTTTTCCCCTTCTTCTTCTTTCCTCATTCAGAAACCTTCTCTGGTTGAATATTTGCTAGCCTTCGGGCTTCACTCATTATTCTCAGCATTAGCAGTAGCTGTGTCAAGACAGAGTGTCCTCGCAGTAAGTAATGATCGTCTTAAATCCTCAGTTCATGAAGTCTCATGGGTTGCCGTCCGGGTTGCCGTACATGTTTTAAAGCCCCACTGTCCTACTTGTAGCTACTTGCTCCCTCTATATAGAAAACTTCCCCAATCGGTGCCTGTTGATCCCCCATGAATCCTTTTTTTCTTATGTTAGTTGAAAGCTGATTTAATGAGATAGCCACCTGTCAGTGACCTCGCTGTGTGGTCTAATCCCTTCTGGCCCAGTAGTATTGACGGTCTTTAAGGGCAGGATATTTTACTGACATCCTTAACCACTGCTGTAATGTATTTTCAATTACGCCATAATTCGGCGAAGGCGTACATAGATCGATTTCTGGCTCTTGTACCCAAGCCATAGAACCCAAGCATCATCAAGCGCGTCATCAGTTGATGATGCATTGTGGGACGTGGCTGTGGATACATCGGGACATTGTGAGCATCAGATGGCAGTATTCTTATATATGAAGCTTTGTCAGTAGAAAACCCATCCTGTAAAACTAACGGCTGTTCTCCCCCCCCCCCCCCCCCGTGCTCTAAAGAGTACATGAATCAACTGTAATTATCATTAACCCTAATGTGAGAACAGGATTGAGTGTATTATAACAAAAAAAAGTTGAAAACGCTTGGCTAATTAAGAGCTTCATAATCCCAAAATATCATCTTCAGGGAGACAAGGCTTACTGTCTTACTACATCATCCCATTATTTTCTTATTGTACACTGTTACTACATACAACAGTAACAGGGAAGCCTTCAATGCTTTTGATTGTTCAGTTATAATTAATCTTTGTTAAAATCATGGAAGTGAAGAAATAAAGTTATATTGTAATCCGAGAACTACAGTACCAATGTTTCCTTGAATACATAGACTAATATCAAAGGTTGCAAATCAGGAGTGAGGGAAACATTTGTTATGTATTTCCTTAAATCTATGCAAAACATTATTACTTTTTGTTTATTTATAGAAAACATGTAATCTAAACTTTATTTTTCTCAGTTTTAGTTCATTGTTAACTTGTTAACTTATAGTAAATTAAAAATGGAAACGAATTTGTTTTAATTATTTGAGAGCACATTTATTTGACCATCGATTACTGAGATATCTGCAATTAGTGACATGTTTTCTTTTCTGGGGTTTGATTCTTCTGTTTCAGTCTTATATCTTCCTGATGTTTGTAATATTTTCCGGGTATTGTTCAGCGTTCTTCATGGCACTTTACAAGTACTTGTTCGGTATGTATGATTCATTAAGCCTTTAATCTCAATCATGATTTATAATAAGAGCCATTACTTTTAGGATTATTTTGATACACCATTTATCGAAACAAGTACAACTTCTTTTACTGTGTTTATTATCATGGTATATAAAAACAAAAGCAAAGAAAAATAATCCACGCTAGGATATGTACTTTTTGTATGACTTTGTTAAAATTCGTCTGTATTTGTAATTTGTACATGGCCTCTCATAAAAACATTTACCCTGTTAAATAAATAAAGAAAACGTTGAAGTCTGATTAATTTGTCACTTACTATAATCATTTTTTTAAATTATAAAACAATATGTCTTTTATGTATATTTTGGTATCTGTATTGTATATGCATGTGAAATTTGAAACCAATAAACTCAAACTCAAACTCAAGTGAAGTGTATTATCACACAAAAGTTTTTGAGCGTCAAGTAACGCCTGGCTGGAATGCTCCCCAGGGAGTGGAGATTGTGCACACAGTGTGTGCGGGCAAGCACTGAATCTAATGACCGGGGTAATAGTATATTTGTAAAGCGCTTAGAGACATTTTTATTAAGCGCTAAATACAAATTAAATATTATTATTATTATTAAGAGAGGATAACCACTTACTTAACATATGTCGTCTACCTTGTCAAATTGACAAATTTCTAGCAAATTTGTTCATCACAATAACACGTTGTGATCAGGGCTTTGGTTCCTTTGAAATAATTACATGGTACAACCCTGAAAACTGCCTATAATTCACGTTTGATCAGTTGCTTTTGTGACGATAGGCTATAATACAGACGCTTACAACATTTCGCTTTTCTCTCCATGTTGCATCCTATGCATTCTTTGGTACTTTGGCTCTTTCTAAGCTCTTTATATAGTCATTATTAAAATCATTCCCAGTTACGAGTTGTATGATTATACTAGAACGTCGATCATTATCGTTTCAACCAAGACCCACCAATGTTGTATTCGGGAGCAGGATTCCCACTTGTAACTACAAACATAATTTATCAACAAAAGGTGGCGCTGTTTAAAAGTAAATTAAGCACCGAGGAAAGCTTGCCTCTCCCCAAACTATTAAAGGAACCCGTTCATGAAATAGATAGTTTAATAGTAGTATTGATAAGGCGAACTCATATATTGATAAATAGCAACTGAAATGATAACAACAGGAGGAGAACAGATAAGATTATGTCCCCTACTTTTCATGCTTGAAATAATCATGTGTATTTTTATCTTTGATATAATTTATATTTTATAATTTATCCTTTACTGTTTGAGTGTAAATGAATTTGAATTGAATCGAAAAAGATTTAGTCTTCAATGTGTCTTATTTCACAGTTGGTTCAAAGCCCCATCGTAAGTTATGGAGGCAGTTTTGGACTCGGCTCTCCGCCCGACCACTCCCCAAGATGAGAATCATAGGTAAGTCAGAATCTTAGGCTAAATATGCATCGGATAGTGATCTTACCAAAAATATCAATACATCATTTCCTTTCCTGTTTAATAAATTAATAGCAAACGTCTCAGAAATATGAATGAACTGAAAGGTATCCGTCATGTTATCGAACGTGACTTAATTTAGAAAATATGAATTGGAAATGATACAGTACATTTTAATTGGCCAATAAAGAAGGACCTCGATTGTATTCGGTGCGGACGTCCACCCCCTACCCCCCCCCCCGGTCAACCGCCTATTTACATACGAATATTTTTTTTTTTAAGGTTTCAGGTATGTTTTAAAAATAGTTGGTGATAGATATCATGAGTTTATTAAGACTTTAGTTATACAATTTTATTGTTAAATAATTTCCCTCCCTTACACATTTTTTAGATTATGTAAATTGGTTTTAAATTAATGGCATGTATTCAATCCGCAAAAAGGGTATTTCGTTTTCATAGAGGAATTCCTTAATACGGATCCCTGCGGCCCTTTAAGTTTCTCTTTTTCTCATTTTCAACTAAGTTATGAATTCATTATGTCATAGTCGTTTATATAACTATATCTTCAATTTTGTGCGTGTACGAATTCTTCCCTTTACTTATGTATTGCGCTGTATAAATTTTATTTTAATCTGCAAATGGAAATAAACGAATGGATGAATACTAACAACATTTTTTTTATCAGGAAGGGAGGAACCAATCGCTATGTCACCATTTTGTTGTAGTCTATATTGTTGAGAAAAAATGTCATATTGAAATGTTATCAAATATTTCATTCTCAGATTTTCATGTACGTGTATTTGTTTTCTCTAGCTCTCATGGACGGAGTGTTTGCAGTGGTTGGTATGCTCATTTTGCTGAACCTCATGTAAGTATCTGGAAATACTAACCAAGATCATTAATAATATGAGTATATTGTTATCAATTTGAAATTATCATTGAAATTTATCATTCTTACTACAGCTTTGTTCATTATTCACTCTTATTCTTTACTCATTTTCTGTGGTATATTACTATGTATTGATGTTTTCCATGATGTTTATATTGTTCAAGTAATTTGTATCTTCATATATGTTGCATTTGTGTACAGGGCCCCCTGGAAAACAGTACTGTGATCACTGACGGGGCCACCCTGTTTAAATAAAACGGAATAAATATGAAATTAAATCCCTTTACACACTTAATTTTCTCATACAAAAATGTGTAATGATACACATGGATTATTTTTAGTGAATGTACGTTTTAACCTTTATTCATTTACGCAGTTTGTTTATATACATTTGTAATAACACAACTTCGAACAAAGTGTAATGACTGGAAAGTTGATCACTCGTTAAAAAAAATCGTGAATTCTTGTTCAATTTCTTGGAAGTCCATCCTCTTGCAAAAGAAACATATATGATTAATTATTTGTCGTTTACTTGTATTCAATACTTGACCATTTAAGCTTAAGGGAGTCCAGGTTCGCATATGTGATCACGCTGTCTGTAACTTAAAACTAGATTCATGTTAGTGTCGATTAGATAGAAAAAATAACTAACATAAGAGATCTCTTCCTTTCCTCTGACAGAGGCGAGATGGCGCCTCATCACAAACTCGATGCGGCAAAAAGTTCTCGGCCCCTCGACTCACGACTCAAGGTGATCCTGTATCAAGAGAGAGAGATTCTCTTAGCACACGGTGCGGCCTTTGTTTCTACAGGTAAAGTATAAGTGTAGCATGATCCTGCAAATACCTCTTCATTTTATTTTTCTTTGAATTGATTTTGTTTGGAATAAATCATGAATATTAATTAGGCAATGGTGAATATGTGCCCCTGTTTTGTGTGCAAAATATCTCTCTCTCTCTCTCTCTCTCTCTCTCTCTCTCTCTCTCTCTCTCTCTCTCTCCCTCCCTCATTAACCCACGCAGAAATATTGTACATGGCGGGGCTTAAACAAAATATTCTATTAGGAATAGTGAAATACAGAAAGGCGACAAAATGTGGTCATATAAAAAGACACCAGAGGTCTCTTGAAAGATTTTCACGCGGAAAAGTAGAAGGTTTTGGGCCAAAGGTGAAGCCGAGAACCAATTGGGAGGAGAAAATAAAGACCAGGGGGCGTTTCACAAAGACTTTTTTCAATGACAGATGACTAAAATCAGTGACAAATCTACTGATGACCAATCAAAAGCAAGGATTTCAGTAGCTTATAACAAAAACTGTCATTTGTCACTGATGACAAGTTTTGTGAAACGTCCCCCTGGAGTTCAATGACACTGCAAGAATATACTAGAATGGCGGATATATAGATCAGAATTGGATGGATTAATTACAGTGTCTAAATGAACAGAGACCCTGATTAAAAGATTGAATGGCAATCGGGTTCATTAGTCTTGGTTGTCAGACAATAGGATAGTGATGGTGAGATCCCGCTTAGGTCAATAGACAATTAATCCTCAATTAATTACTTGTATTTGATTTCACACTGGGTTGCGCTGATAGGTTGATTGCATACCTATACAATAACCCTTACTCTCTTAAAGATTTCAAATGTCATAGAAAAAAGGAAATACTGACAAGACCGGACATCAATGTTTTCAGGGGAAAGAGAGGAGATTAAATTAATGAAGATAAAAGGCGAGAGAATGGGGAACAGAACGCAAGCTGAGAGTGTAGTCAGCTTATACCCATGTATATGTCTTAATGAAGATTTTTTTTAAACGCTTTGCCTAGAACATTCTTCATGGTGTTACAAGATGCGTTTTCCCGATATATATTATATATATTACATGTGATTTTATTATTTTCCAGAATTTTGCTTATGATTTTTCTCGAGTATATACAGACAACTATTTTGAAGGCCACAATTTAAATTAACATGTGCATATTTTCCCCTGCTTCTTTATATTTCAAATCAACATAGTTTTCATAGATGCTACTTATCAAAATTAATTAGCAATTATTTCAAAATTTCTCCCTCTTCCACAGGAATGATGTGGTATATACACACCATGATTTCAAATGTAAGTATGTTTTAAAAAAATAAACATTTATTGTTCAATCCAAAGTAATACCCCAGATAAAGGGGAAAATTGTGCGTTTGCAAGTGGGTATACATTCAAAGCATCGTTGAATCAGCTCTTTAGTACACACATTTCAATAGAATAGTGTATCAGTTACAACTGCACAATATATCCATGCATTTAATATTTTTGAATTATGGAAATTGTGAGCTTAATTCATGTTCTGTACATAGAGAATGATACCTTAATGCTGAGTCCGGATAATGCTTGGTATTTGTGATGTTTATCATGTAATTCAACCCTATGCAAAATCTAGCAACGAAAACAGACACAAAATACCTTGTCGTATTTCCCTCATCGGTGTATATCGCAAGAATGAACTGAAAGCCAATTATATGCCAAAGGGGAGGGGGGGGGGGGTAGGTGCACCCCTCCCTTAAAAGCACAATAACGGTCACATTTCATGGGTATATTAAATGCGAGCCTGTAATTCCTGCCGTACATTCTTTGGGATGATGTTTTCCCCTTAAATCAACGGATTTATAACAACAACAACAACAACAACAATAACAATTGTATTTATGCTATTTGCTTTTTCGTCTTTGTTCTCAATTGTTATCCATTCTAGCAAGTACCAACGATTAGTAGATACATGCGGATTGCCTTACAGTTGGTAGGTGTATTTTTTCATTCTTCATTTTTGTTTTAAATTTCATTGCAAGTGTCGAGTATGAGTACTTTTGCATTATGTAAGAGAGAAAATTACGAATATAAAAAAAGTATAACAAATGTCCAGTTATCAGACACATATAGAATACCACATACTTTAATTGGTCATGAATTTATATCGAAATTAAAGGTATAAATTTCCAATACTAGACCAACGTCTCCGATGAGATTGGGACCAGATCACTTTGACTATTATTCATTTATTCATTGATAGTTAGTAAGCAAGTCGAATAGTAAGTTATTAATTTACAGAGTTCTTAGTTATTTAGATAGTTATTTACATATATTTTTTAAATTTGTATTTGTATAAATCTTTATTCATTTATTTATGTATGTATATTCGTTTATTTACCAGGCACTGGTTTTATTTATTTGACCATTTTATTAAATTACTTTATATAGTTAGTTAGTTTATGAATTAGTGATTCATTAATTTATTTAATAAATTATTTATTTATTTATTTGACGCTAAGAACTATACATTTGATGATTAATTAACTAATTCGTAGTTATTATCATTATAATAATTATGCGTACCATAATTTTTACATTCATTCATTATTATTATTTTTATTATCATTATTATCATAAATATACATGTATTAGTTCATACATTCCGCCTTCATTTACTTATTTTTGTGCAGATGATGATGTGTCTGGGTCTAACACCTTACAGCTTTAGACTCCTCATCAGGTATTCAAGAACAGCACGAGAGGAGGTAGGTAATAACCCTGTCATATGATACCAACGACACCAGACAGACACCAGACCGACACCAGACCGACACCAGACCGACACCAGAACGACACCAGACCGACACCAGAACGACACCAGACCGACACTAGACCAACACCAGACCGATACCAGATCAACACCAAACTGACACCAGACCGACACCAGATCAACACCAAACTGATACCAGACCGACACCAGACCAACACCAGACCGACACCAGATCAACACCAAACTGACAACAGACCGACACCAGACCGACACCAGACCGACACCAGACCGACGACAACCGAACGGGAAAATACATTGTCCCAATGGCCAAATATCGGTCGCTTTGGAATCGTTTTGGAGACGGTTTGACCGTGTTGGAGTAAATGTGTGACGGATAAAGACAATTTCTTACATGTACATGTAGTTTTGTGCACAACCAATACCTTTCCCTAATGCAGCGGTCACAATGGTTCGGAGGTACGATTATTTCCTACGAATCTCCCTGTTTTTCCATTGTCCTCCCGAATTTCCATTGTCTGAAAATCGTTCGTACGGCGTTCGTAGCAGTTCGTAATGGCATTTGTGACCGAGGCTTAAGCCTAACCTAAAACCAAACCGCAGCCCTTACTCTCACATTAAACGTGCAATATGTTTATGTTTCTTATTCATTTGATTTATATACTTCTTCCTCTGCTTATTATGTACATGTACCTATGATGGTGAAAACATATTTCAAAGGTATGAGAATTTGTATTGCTACGCATAAACGTTGTACATGTTGCAATTTTTCCGGAGTGTGTTTTATACTTGAAAATATAAGAATCATTTCATCGAGTGTTCTCAAGTTTCATGAGTAATGTGATGAATGATATAGATCCAGATAATAAGCTCCAATTGCCACATGCTCTTGTCGAAGAAAAATAAACCCTAAGCAATTATCGCAGGTACAAATGTCGGATCCCCGATGAGCCATATACTGAAATCTTCATTATGACGCCATTTTGAAATCCCACATTTCCATTCTTTTTCTTTTCTGTTTGAACCACAGGGGTCGTTAAGTGAGAACGAGGACACCACAATCATGTTCCACTGTGGTCTTCTGATCTGCGCATCAGGTATGCAACTCATCTACTGGATTTCAGCTCATTGGAAAAGGTAATTTGGTCGACTCTTGGTGTTACGTAATCGTTGTCGTATTCGCTCTATTGTCTGAGGTGTTTACCAAGAGTATAGTTTGCACAATACTAGCCACGTTATTGTATGTGATTCTATGCCTGACTTGGGAGCGCCAATGCGTGCAAACTACAGCTATACAATGAGAGTCATAAATAACCAACTCAGGGTTCACTCGTTTAATTCAATTCCTACTTTTACTCAGTTGATGCTAAAGTATTATATATCTTTCGGTTTTGTACAGAAAACGTACGGACGCATCACGAGTCAAATACTTGTAATATTGGAATACAGTTTAACAATGAAATCGAAATTAAAATAGAAAGCACAGAGAGGCGCCTCCACTAGTTGAAATTGGAATCGGCGATATCTCGCTCTCTTTATATAATTATGCCTAATACGGTGTTTTTTGTCCGCTTTGTCCCCCAGAACTGAAAAAAAATATGGGCTTTAGGAACCTGACTTTTAAAATTATGTAGAATATAGCATGAAACCATTATAAAAAGAAAGACGTCTGCCTGCAATGAACCCATCCACTACTGTATGTTCTCATTCCCATTTGTTTAATACACTGCCTACTGGGTTCGAGGAGGCAGTGGGTTAGTGTTACCGCTTGCCAAAGTTATATTTGTTTTATGTATATTCAATAGGCATAAGCATCGTATTCATCACCACTTTGGAATACACCATGTCAAAGCTTTGACCTTACTGCTCGTCTTCCCCATACTCAAGTAAGTAGAAAATAAACCCCTTAAAAAGGTTCAAGTTTGAACTTCGATATCTCTCTTGTTATGATATTATCTTACTTGATGTTGGTATCATTGAAAGGCATGTTTATTCCCCTTTGTGATGATGCCCCGTTTGTAATCATCATTATAATCATGGATAATGCAGTACATCTGAATATGGGTCCAACTAAAAAGTTAAATGTTGCGAAAATGCATTGTTCTTGTCAACAGTGAATCTTTAAACACAATCCATCCCCTAAACAATGAAGAATTCGCTATTGATAATAACAGTTGCAGCATTTCACTTAGTTTGACTGGGCCCCATATTCAGGTGTGATTTACTTAGCATAATTATTATGTGTACTGAATGGCGTTGAGCGTAATATACGGATACGAGTTGGGCTGATATTATATAGGACGAGCCGCGGATGAGTAAAACATTTTCAAAGCGAGTGCAATATACCCTATGTTCCACGTACTAAGTGAAGCCACTCAATATAATTGAAACAATATTGTATGGTCATCTGGGTGCTTTTACGCAAAGAGTGACCGTAAACCGATTTTTCTGGTCCCCCTCAAAACAATAATGAGCAATAATCTAATAGAAAAGAGAGTAACCTTAAACTGGAAGTAGATGGTGAAGAAGTAATTGATGCCGAGAAGATAGCCAATCACTTTAACAATTACTTTGTGGACGCAGTTGATACTATGTTTAATCCTCTTAACTTTGAAAATGATGTTAACAACTCCACCATTGATAGAGCTAGTGAACCATCTGTACACAGCGATACTGTTGATACCGTTCCTCCAGTCAATTCGTTTGATCTCCCAGTTATAACAGATGAATTTGTTATGAAGGAAATCGAACGTATCCCAATTAAAAAAGCCACCGGCCCAGACGATGTTTCAATAAAATTACTAAAATTTGCATGCAATTCTCAAAATGTAATACAAAGCCTTACTTATATACTTAATTCATCTTTGGATCAGGGAATTTTTGTTGATGAATGGAAGATCGCACGAGTCCAACCTATTTATAAAGCTGGAAGTAAACTCAGCGTTGAAAATTATAGACCAGTTTCGTTATTGTCCATACCATCCAAAATACTGGAAAAAGCTGTGAACACGGAATTTCAAGAATATTTAAAAGTAAATAAGATATTAACAGAAAGGCAGTTTGGCTTCCGCCCCAACCATTCATGCGAAACTGCCCTGCTTTGTATGGTAGATTTATGGGCCCAAAACGTGGACAAAGGCAACTTAAACGGTGTTGCGTATATTGATATGAGGAAGGCATTCGATGCAGTGAATCACTCAACTCTATTAATGAAGTTAAAAAACGTTGGTTGCACGGATAGAGCCATAAAATGGTTTCGGTCCTATCTAGGAGGCAGGAGCCAGTTTGTGTCTATTAAAGGTAAAAAGTCATCAACGAGAACAATTAATTACGGTGTACCCCAAGGTTCTGTCTTAGCGCCATTGTTATTCTCGATATTTATTAATGACTTGCCCACTAGTATTCATAGTGCGGACATGTTTTTATTTGCAGATGACGCGACCATGTCGGTACAAGGCAAAACATTATCTGAGATCCAAACGAAACTAAATCTTGCTTTAGATGAAGTGTATTCGTGGACGCAAAAAAATAAACTTCTATTGAATACTACTAAAACAAAGGTAATGGTTATTGGGTCGAAGCAAAAGTTACAGACGCTAAACGAAAATAATTTAAATGTGCGTATAAAGACAACACCGATTGAATGTGTGACACAGTACAAATGCCTCGGTGTTATAGTAGACAGCAATCTCTTATTTTCGAAGCATGTCGAAAAAGTAGCTTTACAAATGAAACAGAAATTAGGTATTCTAAGAAGACTCAAAGGCACGTTCAATAAACATTATCTGAGTATGATATACTGGGGCTATATTCTACCTCATGCTATGTACTGCTGCACTGTGTGGATAAATAGATCCCTGCATAATTATGAAACTATAAATAAATTACATAAACGAGCAGCATATATTATATCTGGATGTTCGTGGTCAACTCCTTCACACGAGGTTTTATTACAACTTAATTGGTCAACACTTGAGGCATTGTATTCAAGAGCAATGGGGATTATGGCATTTAAATGTGTTCACCATCTTGCACCTGCCTTATTGGCAAACAAATTTATTTTACATGATGATGTAGCACAACGCATGACACGTAATTCCCATCAACTTAAGCTGGAATCCAATAGGTGCAATACAGAATTCTTTAAGCGCTCCTTTGTAAACTCTGCAATAACACTCTGGAATAATCTACCCATAGAAACCAGGTTCTCCCCCAATCTGAACGTATTCAAAAGCAATTTATCACACTGAGTCTGGAACGCTCTTGTTCATTGCCGTGCAATATGAATGCTGCAATCTCCTTTAACATTTTATTTTAATTAGCACACGCCAATAATGAATCTTGCTTACTTATTTTATCAATATGCTAAACAACATTATCATTGATGTTTTTTTTTTTTTTTAAACCTCAATCAAGGAATCTTTGAAATTGTATTTCATGTACTTAAGCAATACCATGTTATGAATTGATTATGATACTAACATATGCATGTTATTATATTTATGTGCATAATATGTCAACTATTTGTTTTTATAATTAATAGTTTAAAGTATTAAATGGGAAAGTATTAATAGTATATATGGTATAACGTAATGGTGACGGCAAACTTTTTTAACATTGAAATATATTGCATAATTTGTTTTGATATTTATACCATACTTTGTTTTAACTTTAACCTAATACTATGTGTTATTGCGTACAAATGTCAACTACATGTATATATATATATATTTTAATTGTGGGTTTTGTTGTTGTTTGTTTACAATAGTTTTAATTATAAACTGGGAAAGTATTTAATTGTATACATTTTATAATTACTCAATGGTGACGGTAAACTTTTTTTAACATTGAAATATTCGCAACAATTTTATAAATATCTATAGCATACCTTATCTTAATTTGAACTTCGTATACTATGAAATGTACTGTATCGCCTTTTTATTGCATGTCCGAATTATCTCTCATATTATAATGTGCATTTATTGTTGTTTTGATTGACATTATTATTGAACCATGTATGTTGTAAAGGGCCCTGATGAAAACCAGCTCATGCTGATCGGGCTACCCTTTTTAAAGATGTGAAATAAATAAATAAATAAAAAAAACGTAATCATTTTAATAGGACAATAAATATGAACATAAGGTTTATTAGTTTGAGACAAACGCCAGCATGTATACTCCGTTGGCATACTGGCATGGGCTATCCTACAAGCATTTTTTTTTTTTTTAAACAAAATAAAATACTCAACGCTTGCAGAATAATGTTAATATCAACAAAATTCATTTAAAAACAATCCTTTCGCTTCAAACACTACAATGTTCAGAATATGATTACATCATTGACTTCGTTTTGCGGCTGCGAATGAAAATCAAGTTTTGGCATGATTATGGTAGAAAATGAATATAAATGTTTTAGTCAATGTGTGATTTCATATAGTGATAGATATAATTTCATATAGTGATAAATATCATTTCATATAGTGATAGATATCATTTTCAATCTTTATATTTTCCCTTAGTTTGACGTTGTTTCTTCTGGTCTTGAAACCGGGTACAGTGACATCCATGACAGTATGGAGAGTAAGTTTAAACAATAGTCAATAACTGTATTTCTTTTTGCCACAACTGGGAATGGTTGGTGTGGCTTTGGCCAGCTCGTATTTTCATATTGACCACAACAAATGAAATACATTGGGCATTATAAACGTTCGCATGGGGGTGGGGGGGGGGGCTGATCAAGAATTTGTTTTATGTTGCATAATAGGTCCATTGGCAAGATGCATTAAGCCTTATTATAACACTCACCACTGATTAATTCAGTTTGTTCTTTTTTAGTTGTTAGTGATCTCCCATGAGTACTGCAAGTCGGAAAGGTGGACCTTCAAGGTTTTGGTGATTTAGTTTGCCTGCCCCATTCCTGGCAACTTGTAAATGCTCATGGGAATCACGATAATGTTTTTTTTTTAAATGGTTTTCATTCTTTGTTTTGTACGATTTGTTCTTCTATGTAATTCTTTTATAATAATGTGAAAATGGGTATCCTCTTTTGCGCTGCATATGTATATTTAGCTGCTCGGTCATGACCAGGGTCAAATTATGCTTGATCGTCAGGAGATTCACGGTTTGACGGACATTATTTTAAAAAAAAACCTATCATTAATAATCGTTTATTTAATAAATGAACAAAACTATCCGTGGAATCAAAAGGGAAATGTTTCGATATTAATGAAGGGTATACAGTGTGATTATGAAAGTTCCATCGGCTTGCAATTCAAATTAGTATGCCTTTATTGCTGTTTATATCTTAAAAGAAATAACATTAATATTGTGACATTTTTGCTTTTTATTGATGACGATATTTGATTCTCATTTGCTTCAAGGTCCAAACGGGTTCCGTGCTTATTTTCCTCGCCGTCAAAATGGTGTTCGAGATTTACACTCATGTAAGTTCATATTTTAAGTTGAGTAACATCTGTATGAAGCATTGAAGCAACATAATCATATGATAATTTGGAGTTCCATACAATAACGGCAATGCATGTGTCCAGTCATAGCGTATTGAGAGGGATAGTTATGACACGCGCACTCGTATATTACACTTTACGTTATCATTGACAAAACGAGCCTGTACACTTATTGGGTATGTTTTTAAATGGGTGGCATGATAATATTACTCAAATTAGATATCAACGCAGTTCAAGATACCATCTAAAATATGAAAAGGTGAAAATAAGGAGTTAAGTGTTAGAATACTATTTCTCTGCATTCATACAGGTCTCGAGACGAGGTCCACCGACGAAGTTTGAATCACAGACATCACGAGATGAGGATCTGGTCAAACGTAAGTATCAATATTTAATGAAATAAGTAAATGAATTAATGAATAAATATACAATATTTATGATGATTATATTAATGATAATATACTACTACTACTTCTACTACCACCACTACTTTTGATAATAATTATAGTAATAATAATAATGATATTGATAATAATAACAATAATAATAGTAATGTTCATACAACATGATGATAAGTAATTATATATAAAGACAAAACGCAAACTTTGATACAAAGAATTATGAACGAGGACATGGACGGAAATTTATCTGATAGATATCAGCTGTGTAGATAGAAAAGTACATGAATAGATATATTTATATATATATATCTCCCTTCGCTGTCGCCCATACTATTTCTAAATCTATTTGATATTCAGTACTCGTAAAGTATGTAATTTTACTCTCATTTTAATGTTCATTCCCCTTCTATCATCCTAGTATTAATAATTTGTTCTTTACTTCCCTTCCTTATTTACATTTTTTGTTATTTGATTGATCGATTAATTTATTCATTTGTTAATTCATCTATCTATCTACCTATCTATTTATCTATTTGTTCATGTGTATCTGGTCATTTATGTATTTATTTGTTCGGTTATATTCAATGCACAGTCGAAAGCAAGACATGTACCTGTGACCGTGTTGCCTTAAGGAAAGACAAGAAGAGCATCAAAGACGTGACGCGAACTTCAGGCATTGCTGTCATCTTCCAAGACAACGAAGAAACATAGGAATGACGTCATCGTGACGGAGGGAAAAGGGGATTCCCTGTCCATCTTCAGCGAGAAAAGTGTCAGACTCTTGATGGTGATGATGCAAATGTGATAATGACGTTACCCTAGCTACGAATTAACACTATTGTGTGACTTCAATTATGTCTTTGATGTACCGTGGACACTGTGGTAGTTTTTGTGACGTCACCTAGCTGCAGGGAAGGTCCCAGTGACGTCACTAATCAGACCCAAAACCAAGCCCTAACTTGGACCTGAACTTGTCCTTGTTTGTAGGATTTATGACGCTTTGTCTCAGGTGTAGATCGGATACAGCTGATTATGGCAATAGACACAAGGGAGCAAAGATCTTATATTATGGCTTTCCGAATCTTTTTTTATTTTTATTGAACTCTTTGCATCTTTGAAGAATGCACAGTATTCAAACTGGATTCTCAGGGCGAATTGGAGATTGAAAACGAGTCAGACTATAGGTTTGGAATCGGAGGAACCTGCAAGTGGAGGAAGAGCGTCATCGCGGATTTGTGCTTGAGTGGGAGGTAATATGATTCCCCAATCACGCCGACAAGACCGGCATCAGCGCCTTAAGTATCCCCTGGAATGGATATGTGCGCCATATAAAAGTAACTTTTTATATTATCATCATGACATTATTTGCTAATTATTAATAAGAGTGTTTGTTAGCACAATGCTAATTCAAATGTGGGTAATTAATTGTTATCTGTAAAAAAGGAAGAAAAAAACTAGCGCGATCTCTCTCCATAACAGATCGATGTGCATCATTCCATCACGTTATGGTGAAGTAATAGGAAAAAAAGAATCACAAAAGGCAGGCATATTGTACCACTGTTGACTTAAATCTAAATCATAGCCTATAATATACACGAATGGAAAATTTCAGAGGGATTGTGGAGAGTATACCATGTTAAGGGTCTTGACTCCAGTTTCACATATGCAATAATGTATTGTAACAATGTTTTAACATCATCAAAACATGCTTATAGCTTTTTTATGCTAAAACGTGAACTATGAGTGTTTTTTTGTTTGTTTTTGTTTACCTGAATGCTAATAAATACCTGTATGCTTGAAAGTAGCAAACCAGAAGGCTGATAGCTTTAAATCTTTACCGATGGACTTGGTAATGACGATTAGTACCTTGCCATAGGGCACTAAACACGTACATGTATGCAACTATTTTTGAGAAGTCAACCTGAGGTAATTTCAATGGCCTTGTACGTCCCCTCCTGTAATGAGCGTATTATGGTGTAAGAATATGATCCAAGTCCCACCGCGGCAAGACATTGATCTACATTTGCCACTCTCCACCCAGGTGTTAAATGGGTACCCGGTAGGATGCGAAAGCTAATGTGCTTAGATTAGCAAGTGTGCGCTTGTTAAAATGACGCCTGGCTGGAATGCTCCCCAGGGAGTGGAGAATGTACATATATTGTGTGCGGGTAAGCCTGAATCCTATGACCGGGGTTATAATATACATAATCTCTAAAGCAATATGAGAGGGCCTTCGGTCCTGAAAAGCGCTATATAAGAACTAGCTATTATTATTATTATTACAATATGGTATTGAAATCGCCTCTGAGTTGATTTTCACTAAAGTAGTTGCGATTGTGTTACTAGCGCATCAGCTTAATTTTGAACCCGGGACCTCCCGCTAACGAGACCACTGCTCTACCCCTAAGCCATCGAGCGTATAGCATCATAGCTAACTTTTAAACCCAGTTAGTAGGTAAGCCCCAAAGTGAAGTTTATGCCGATTTCATATTTATGGTGGAAAAGTTATAATCGTGTAATATGTGTTGCAATGTAATAATATGTGTTTGTATAATTTAATGTATATTTGTTTGTCAGTAATTATCATTACCATGGAACTGCCATCAGACAAAAATTCGTCATCATGATATTGTATTCTTATAACCAAAGAGATTAATGTAGATATCCCCTTATATACTAAAATCGAATGGCGGTTTTGGTCTAGAACAAATTAAAAACACCTATTTGTTCTAGACCAAAACCGCCATTCGATATATATATATGTATATATATATATATATATATATATATATATATATATATATATATATATCAATTTTTACACGAGTTCAGATAATTTGGTATTTGAATGATTTTATCTTTCTGTTGGTTATTTTAGATAATAAGCGTTGATCACATTTGTGCTTTTCGCGTTTCTTATGCTATCTCTTATTATATTCCTTTGCTAAAAACGTGTTTTGTGTGTGTTTATTTTCCCTATCTTTACATTCGTTTTTATATTCATATACTCTTTTTATATTTTTGTTGAACTTTAAAAAAACTTATAATCTTTTGTTTAACCTTTGAGCTTTCAAACTTTCAAACGTTGAACTTTTTCGATCTGATGAGTATTGGTGTTTCGTGTTTTTTCTTTGTTCAGCCATATTTGACCTTAAATTGTTATATATTATTTTATGGTTGTCAAATTTTATTGATTTTTATACCATTACTTTCCATTTTGTTGTCATTTATCTTATCTTATTTTGTTTGTTGACTTCATATTATTCAAATGTCATTGTTTTTTCATGTTTCAATGCTTTGAATGTATCTGTTTTAAATGTTTAACACGACCCCAATGGAATCCAGGTGTGTAACTGTTTCGGCTTTTTACAGTGTATAAATAAATAAATTCAAAATATCTGTATTTGCTTGGTCGAAATTGGTTCGTGATTATTCTTCTACTTCTTATATTTCTATCTTTGTCTTTTTCTTTTCTTTTCATCTATGTATTACCCACCACATTCTCTCTCTCTCTCTCTCTCTCTCTCTCTCTATCCTGTATCTTTCAGTCTTTTTCTCTCTCAGGCTCTCTTTCTTTCTATTTTCTCTTTCATCTAGCACAATATAATCAGGTATTTTAGTTTGCATCATCAAACGATCGATACTTTTCAAAATAAATGGTTATACATTTAATTATTCTATTTTCTTTCATTGCCAACCGTAACATTGAAATAAAATGGAAAATATATGGTTATTGTGTTTACAGTTTTTGTGTGTGTATTCAACAACAATTTTGTTGTTTGTTTGTTTATTTGTTTGTTTCATAATTTGATATTCAATGATATTGTTAATTATATCACATGAGGCAATGTGTAAAGCAAGCGTTGTGTGTAAGGGGGGGGGGGAGACAGAGAGACAGCGGAAGCCGAGATGGGAGAGAAGGATGAGAATGTATAGAGTGACAGAGAAAGAGAGAGAGAGAGAGAGAGAGAGAGAGAGAGAGAGAGAGAGAAAGACGAGGAGGGGTAAACATTAGTAAAGGGACAAGAGAAAGAAAAAGATTTCTGAATAGTCATCTTTTTTCTGAACGGAACAGCAAAAATGCGGAAAATAGTCAATATTATATACCTCACTTAAGAAATCCAGCCATCTGATTGGTCGAATTGCATTCATAAACTTCAACTGTTCCTGTAAAATTCCCGGTAACCATGCATAAAACATTTCAATATTTTTAATAACCATGGTTATTAAAAAAATAGGTCAGTCTCCATGGTTACCCCATAGGTTTACATGTTAAAAAATGGTTTGAGCGATGGAGGATACCATACGTGTGCGAAAAATTGGTCGGCAATTTCAATACAATTGAATCTCGATCGATCTTACCGACAATTTTATCTTGCATTGTTGACATGAAGACGAAAATTAACTCTCAAAAACAAAAAATAGACAGCCAGTTCACGGTTGCAGTCTGAGCATGAGCAGATAAAGGTCATTGCAGAACAAATTGTGAAATACACGGAGACAAAATACTGCATACGTGCTTATGAAAGTTATGTAATCATTATTCATTTATGCACTTCATGATACACAGGTGGAAGTATTCTTTGAAAAGGGGAAACAAAGGCTATTTATGTAGCACCTCCATCGCTGTAGGAGTGATTATTTCAAAATGTACAAAGTGGGACCTCTTCATGTTTTGAAGATCTGTGGATATTCGGGGTCATTGCAGTAATGTGCTAACCGTGAACTGGTCTATTCGGCGATAGCACTTATACAAAAGCAGAGACTCTTCAGCGCTTGGGTGTTGCTAAGCACTTACGTAATCATCACGAGCATGGCAATCATACTTTGCATAATGACTCCGTCTCTCTCTCTTTCTCTCTCTCTCTCTCTTACCTATCATGGTAATAATTTTTCTCATACTGGATTACACACACACTCTCTCTCTCTCTCTCTCTCTATCCCTCTCTCTCTCTCTCTCTATTTCCCCAGACGTCTCATTACTGTCCGTATAAAGTGCTCATCATTCACACGTCTTGGAGTATATCATTCACATATGACGCTTGTCCGTACATTAACTGCACGAATACATCCTTTTTTGTATCTTTCCAAACACAAACCGGATATAATTTGCCAAAAATAACTAAGACGATTAACAAAAGGGGTATTTTTATAGAAAGTAAATATTACCAATAGAAGTAGAATGTTGTTTATGTTCCACATAATGTGCGAGATAAAGATTGCCGTTTAAATATGACCACTTTTTTTGTTTGGGGGTGTCACTTTTAAAGTACGTATAGCAAGGAAGTACATGTATTCATGTAAGTTATTATATTTCATTCTTGTGTCAAACACATACGTTCTCCTAAGAAAGCACTTTGTATACATGTATTTTGAAAAATCGTCAAACAGAATCGTTTATTCAGAACAATATTATGTGATAAAATATAAAACTTCCATATTGGTCATGCCATGAAGAAAATGGCGACACTTCACTAGATCAAAATGTCAATCAAAGAGGGTCTATATTATGTAAATTTGTAATCATTTCTGTTCTTGGAGAAAGCTGGCTCGACGTTACCTCGAAATGCCAGCATTGCTTTTTTTTTAATTTTGTAAGTGATACCATTCAGGAGCGAGCTAATTGAAGACATGTCCGGGAGGTGTTACTATGATTTTACATGGTTTGGGTTTGTCTAAACGGAATCTTCATTCACTACCGAGATTTAATCTGTCTTTGAAAGACTCCCTGAATGAAACGGTCTCCTATTCTTTTGATGACACGATTACTGCCCGTCACCCACTGTAAAGGATTTTCCTTTCATGATGAAGAAAGTGGTTTGTATGCAATCTAGGTGTGTGTTTGCACGGCACACCAATACCAATAGATCCTTGTATACGGATGACTGATCTATCACTAAGCGTTGTGTATAGTGGTTTTAAACTGAAAACTTCGAGCTAGCGTGAACAAGTGTCTTTAGAAAGGAAGAAATTCAACAACTAGTCCCGTTCAAAGCATTGCGTGGCGTCTTTTCCACACTCAACACTTTGTCATGTTGCTTGAGAGTTAAATATGCCTGGATATGCTTTCGTCACGAGTTTCCAATGTGATTTTCCATGCGGAATGTTTTGGAGTGATTAATCTGGAATAGTTTTCATCGAACTGCCTACAATAATATATGGAGCCGTGGAATTGATAGTTTTATTGGCGAACCAGTTGATTGGACATCATTGCGTTCTGTTTTCAAGCTCTTCTGGGACATATGACACTTTCATGTAAATAACTTGACGACCATATTTGGGATATAGTGAGTGGTCATTTCATACAGAGTCAAAGGTCGTGTGTGCTACCTCTGTTCGGTTTTAAAACAACATAATCCATTTCGTTCCGTTTGTGATCATTTCATCGTTTGTGCTGTTTGGACACTGTAAACATGGCATGATCAATTTTAGTGCAAGTGAGGCACATAACCGTTGAAATGGTATATGAAATTGATAAATAATTGCCAACTAATGCCAAAAACCTATCCTGTTCACTCTGACTGACATTATGAAATTATGACTGTCACATTCTAAGGAATTTCGATTATGGGAATTCTTCAACATCATACGTAGATTCGAGACACAACACCTGACGACAATCTCCTGAAACTTAATTTTTTATTCATCAAAGGGAGCGGAATATTGCTCACCATGCCCCGGATAACCCAAACAGCGTTTTTGAAGAGCCTTTGGCGGCGTTACCCGGGTACTATCCTATTCCATTTAGGTCTCCTTCTCTTTCTCTTGGCCACGTTGTCGAAATATGGCGGTTTTTCCTTCATCACCAGTGCGGGAAAGCAGAATGAAAGGCGAGACTTGGAATTCAAGAAGTATGAACTATATGTCGACCCCTCCATGCCACTCGATAGGGTAGTTGATGATGAGTTGGCCGAGTGGATCGAGCAACTGCTTGTACAGAAGCCGACTAATACTGACGGAGAAGATAGAGCCCTCGGCGAGAAGAAAAGTGAGTCAAAAGCCGGTGATAAGATGAATGGTAATGTCTTCAAGAAGGTCCTGGAATCTGTAGAGGTCTTAGGAGAAGGTGGTTCCCCTCGGGATCGACCATCGGCCAGGATGGCGCAGCGGCACCTACCCAACGTCCCACCGGGTCTCCTCCCTGTCAGCAAGTTTTTTCGGGAAAAGATGCCCCGACTTGCGAATCAACAGATCAAACTGCCCCTTACTGTCAAATCTGTGCAGCAAGATCTAGAAAAGAATATGTCCAATACAGAAATGCAAAGGGAAGTGCATCCTGATATGAATCTTCGACATGGTCAAGACGTCATCACTGCTGCCCATACGGCACTTCCAACTATAAAGGGAGTGGCCAAGAGGGTGAATGTACTCATAGTTGCCGCAATGAGAACAGGGTCGTCTTTTCTAGGGGAGTTGTTTCAACAGCGAAGAGACTTCTTCTACATGTTTGAGCCGGGTATGCAAATAATGCACAAGCTCGATTCCGCAAACCTAACCCGTCGGGTGATCTACACGAAGCTCATCGATATGTTGAATGGCTTCTACCACTGCAAATTTAACGATATTTCATTCTTTATCGATGAATTAAACCATAGAACATTGCATGGTCGACAACAATCCATTGCTGCACTGGTTACCTCACAATTTTGTCGGAAGACACGCCTACCAGGTCATCGATCAAATAAATTGGTTTGCGATCCTGTTAGTGAGAAGGTCCTGGAGACAGCATGCGCCACAAGGGACCACACCGCCGTCAAATCCATTCGAGTACTCGACATAAACCTGATGATATCCGCAGTCAAAGACCCTGATATGAACCTCAAACTGATTCACCTGATACGTGACCCTAGGAGTATGATATTATCGCGTTTAAAACTCAAATTTCCGGCAATCAAAGTCTTCAATGTGACTGAGCTCTCCGATACCTTTCGCAACGTTCTCTTGAAGTATTGTTCAAACTGGCTCCAGAACTACGAGATTGGACACTATGTTCCTTTGATGAAGAAGAACTACTTGATGGTGCGCTATGAGGATCTCGCTTTAGAGCCGTACGTCTACGCGAAGATAATCTACGACTTCGTGGGTCTGGGTGCGGTAATTCCCCCCGCGATACAAACCTGGATCGACATTAACACCAATGTCAATGACCCGAGCCAAAAGAAGGCTGCTGCCTTTTCGACCAGGAGAGACTCGAAAGAGGTTTTGGTAAGCTGGAAGTCCAGACTCACTTTAGAGATGGCAAATGCCATTGAAGAAGTTGGAGACTGCACCCGACTTATGAAAGCGACTGGATATAAACTTATTGGGCATGATTATGGGATGCTAAAGAACAATGATCACCTGGTTGACGAGTTTCCATTACCCGAGTTTCGTGTTAATGAGTTTGATTTTATGTAATAGAGTACCTAAGGGATAACGTCATATTCGCTCGTCGTCCTGGTTACTGTATCCAAATAACAGAGCATGCGCATGAGGTTCACCCCGAAATCATTCAAGCAACTGGAGCAGGACGAATTCAGTGTTTTGGGCGGTTGGGATCACCACACCACTGTTTAGCACAAAAATGTTAGGAACCAGCAACCTTGATAACTTGGCCAGTATGATGTCACATCCCGTACCCTATATTCAACAGTTATTTATTAACAACAGATATCTTTCACGTATTTCTGCTCGTTAGTCAGCAGTAAAGTTAACACTGGTCAAAATGCATAAATGTATTGTTTGTGACTACCAGTGTGGTGCAACCATTTTGATAGGGCAGGGGATCATGATGCAACCAAGTCAGCAAACAATCACGGAAAAACTTTCTTTCCTATAATTCCAAATATTCCTACTTTACAAAGTTTCGTGCATAAAATCATTGTAAAAATGTCCTTTTGCATTGCTGTTTCTTGTTTGTTTACTAACTGTAGAGTTAAATATCAAGTTTAAAAAAAAAAAATGAGTAATTTGCAGTTTCCTATTAGCAGAAGGGAAAAGAGGCAGCATTAAAATAGATTTTTATTTTTTTCAATTTTAAAGGGATTAACATCATCTGGGAAGCAGGAGACCTATTTGAATGGTCTATTTTTAAGCTCTTGTAGTTGTTGTTTTAATATTATTATCATTATTATTGTTGTTTTTATTTTTGTTATTTATATCATCATTATTATTGCTGTTATCCTTATTGTTATTATTATTATTATCATTATCATTATCATCATGATCATTATCATCATTATTGTTGTTGTTACTATTATTGCTCTCATTGGAACATTTTTAAAGATCAATTTTGAAGTATAAGCCTAATATGGTAGGAAGTTGTTTGTGTAATGACATGAAATGTAGGATACCTGTATGTGAAGGGCAAAATCGTGTTATTACACCCCCCCCCCCTCCCTATTATGCCTAAAAAAGGATGTTGTATTGCCCTTTAGGTGCCAACACATGGGTCGGTCGGTCGGAAATCTTCTCTTTTTAAATTTTTTTTTCTCCCTCTTTGGGCTGATTTTTCTCAGTTTTTAATGCTTTAATACATAAAAACAGATTTGTTTACGCCTTACAGATGTTACAGTCTTGTAAATGTTATTATGTGTGTAATATACCATGATGGCTAATCGTACAGAAATTGGGCAATTATAGAGTTGAATTTCGATGTAAAACAATTACCTTTTATGCCTTTTCGTCAGATGTGACGCGGCAAGTCTGGGGCGTTTTTTGTGTGTGATGACGTTAAGAGTAGTACGCGTCACATTTCTGTAATTGTAAATACGCGCATGACCTTTTTTACGTTCAGTTGCTATTCATTAGGGACTTTTAGATTTACACGACGAGAGCGGGGACTGCCGCCTGTGACATTGTGTTAAGGCAGTGCCTTAAAAGGACATCACATTACCTTAAAAGGATGTCACACGTGGCGGTCCACGTTCTCGTCGTGTAAATCTAAAAGTTCCTTTTAACTCGTAAGTGAAACAGAGGTGGCTTTCTTTTCGCGGCGGTTTATACACTGTCATATCTGAACGAACCTTTAAAACAGTTAGATCTTTTGATGGTTTCCCGAGTATACCACCTAGTTCTACCAGGCCAAATTATTGTACAAGTTGTGGATGAGACCCGTCATTCGTCTTCTTTTCCTCATCACCAACATAATTATCCCTGCAATGATCATACCAGCATCATCATCACCATCATCTTCATAATTGTCACCGCAATGATCATTACTATCACCATCGTCATTATCACCACCATCATCATTGACCATTGTCGTCATTATAGTCATAATGAATGCACCATCAACATCATCACCATCATCACAATCACCACCAACACCCACTATCATTAACATCATCATCATCATTTTCGTCCTCGTCGTCGTAATCATCATCAACATTGAAGATAAGAACACAGTTGGCATATTCTTTGTTAAAGTTTGTTTCTATTCTTGATATCAAGGCAATATTTTCACATGCGATAAAACAGAATACACATGAAAATCTATGTTTACCTAGATGCATCACTTCTAGGTTCTATGCGTGTAACGTGATCATTTTGGAACAGAAAACATTGAAGGATGTATATAATAAGGCAGACAACCATGGTTCTTAATTTTGATGATTGATTATTTGCAGATCCACAATGGCGATTTAGTGATGATATAGCCTTCATAGTATTGTAATGTAGGCTAGGGGCCTACTCTCTACCAAATTCTTTTTCAAATATCTGCAAGGTATATCCTGTGTAAGTTCATGACAGTGTGACATTTTCAAATGATAGATTAACATAACTTTATGTATAAAATAAATGTAAGTGCAATCTAAATTAATGCGTCTTTGCTTCACTTTGTCCTGGGGTCACTTAATTGTTTTAACATTGTAACGTAGCAAGAAAGAAAGAGATAGAATGGGAGAGAGAGAGAGAGAGATAGGGAGAGACGGGTGGGGGGGGGGCAACTAAATGAAAGGATTGAGGGAAATAGATCATAAGTGAAGGAGAGACAGATACGCATAATGAATATAGACAACTGAAAGAGGCGAGAGGGTGAAGTTAGAACAACAAAACAGAGAGTGTGATAAAGAATGATAGAGACAGTGAAGAGAGGGAGAGATATATAGATAGAGAGATAGAGAGAGAGAGAGAGAGAGAGACAGAGAGAGACAGAGAGAGACAGAGAGATACAGAGAGAGAGAGACAGAGAGAGACAGAGAGAGAGAGAGAGAGAGAGAGAGATACAGAGAGAGAAGAGAGAGAGGGGAGGGGAGGAGGAGATAGAGATTTAAAGAAAAAAAAACAGAGAATACAAAGAGCAGGGAAGGCGGGAAAAGGGTAAAAGAAAGAAAGAGAAGAACGGGGACGGAATGTTCGAGAGCCACACGAATTCACAGAAGACAAGAAAATTTAGAGAGAAAGAGAGAGAGAGAAAATGACAGAGAGAGGGGACATCATTTGAAATATATATGATAAGTGAAGGAGAGACAGACAAACATAATGAATAAAGTGAAGACGAATGAGAGAAATAGACAACTGAGAGAGTAATTAAAAAAATACACAAACTACAAAATGGTCACAAGAAGGGAAGGCGAGAGGGATAAAGGAGAAAGAGAGGAAGGGAGAGAGAGAGAGAGAGAGAGAGAGAGAGAGAGAGAGAGAGAGGGGGGGGGGGGGTAAGGGACGAGGGATAAGCGGTTTTTAAACATGTTAAAGAGTGCAAGATTGTAATATCCGTCCTAGCCACGCTATAGGCATGACTAAATCCCCACACAAAGATTCTTCCTCGCTGTAACGGTTGTCTGAAAAACCAGGGTATGGAAAAACCTTCTTTTTTGTGCCACAAAGGACAATCATGTTTACTTTCCCTGTACTATGGTATTAGTACAGCCTGTAATGTCACAATATTGAATCCCGTGAGATAATTGTGCCAAAATTGATTTTTTGGGCTAACTTTGTCAATTTGGGGGTGCTGAATCCAAAAAACTTTGGTACCATTTTTTTCGACCACGTCTTAGGCGGCCATTTTGAATTTCAAAATGGCCACCATAAAAAATGCATTTTTTACCATTATTTCATATTATAGACATTGGAGAAGGGGCAAATGTGGGATAAAATGTATGCCTATGATGTCTGATATATCAATACACATTTTTATAAAATTTTGCTTTATTTCGATTGGCCGCCATTTTGAAATTCAAAATGGCCGCCATTGCTAATCCTATTTTATCTCATGTCTCAAGTTATAAGCACCTGGAAAGGTTTGTACCGTAACAGTATCATAATATTGATGCTATGTGTGTTTTCAAACAAAACACAAGCTCCCAGTAACTGACCATTCGAATTGGCCACCATTTTGAAATTCAAAATGGCCGCCATGGAATAACATTTGCTATTGTTACTTAATGTATTAAGATTATATTTAATTGATCATGATGGGTGCCAACGCACTTAAGACTATTTTCCTGTCTTCCAGTTGGCTCCCTCCGCAATAATAACATGTTCTATATCATTACACTTTAATCAATCACTTATGCTCTTTGTCAATGTTACTGTAAATGTTCATATTTTGTTTCGGTATTTGTTGTTGTTATTGTATATACATGTATATATCTGTTATATGTAATGTACATCTTTGTACTTTTATTATTGTGGAAAATAAATGAACTGAACTGAAAAAAAAATTTGAAAGTACCTTAGAATCATCCATTTTGAGAGATCATCTGTATTTAAAGCTTGCAGGACCTGGTACATAGAATACCGGCTGTCATCTTGATCATCGTATATATGCCTAAACGCATCACCCCCCCCCCCTTCTTCCACCCGGGGGGGGGGGCTTAATTATAACATATAACAGTTACTGAACGTGGTGTTAAAGAAAAACTAGAAAAATAAATGCCTTGGACTGGACGTATTAAAACTTCAGTGTGCAAATACAGGCCTGTTATTCCAGAGATAAGACATGATGAGACACGCATCACATCAGAATGCAGTATCATGTGTCTATGCAGATTGCCAGCATACATCTTTGATATGACATGTGCTCCCCATGTGCTCTCACCCACGTGGATGTATGTGTCAATTGAATGCTGTGAAATGTTCTTTGAATGAAGGGTTTACTGTGACGATGAATGAAGTTAATGAGTTGTACGTTTCATTCCTTGCTGACAATGACATCGACCCCGGACCTTATCACCACAAAAAACACCTGAAAGCAATAATATCAGAAAACATTGAAGGAGTAAATTTCATAAAATCACATCGTGCCAATGAAAGTGAACTTCTCGTAGGTGAAAAGCTGCTTGGAAAAACTGTTTCTGAACTTCATGAGCAACAAACAGAAGAAGCTGATGTTGAATGTCTTCAGGAAGCAGCTACGATACTAAGAAAGGCACTTGCATCTTCATCTGCTAAATGGAAATTTACAGGTATCCAGTCGATGTCAGAATTTCAGCATCCTCCTCTACTGACCAGTTTTCTTCGTTGGGTTCTCTTTGGCACAAAATGCGTAGGCATTAAGGGAAGACGTAGCCAATCATCAAGAAAAGCAGTCAATCTTATGGCGCAGCAAATGTTGCTTAACTTCAAGACTGACCGTCAAGCAGCATATTCACCAGAATCAGATGCCGAATTCAGAAGGAGGCATGAAACGCCGTTATCAGTAGGATTGGCACTCACAATACACAAGAAGACAAGAAGTAAAGATCTAGTTAATCTTCTATCCCATTTGAACATTGGATGCTCGTATGATAAGGTGCTGCAAATTGAAAAGCGGATTGCCAGTGGAGTTGCAGAAAGGATGGAGACATCTGGTGGGTTTTGTTTGCCACCTTTCATTGAGAAAGGAAAGTCTCTATTTTTCGCAGCGGACAATATTGACTTCCTTGAAAACACTGCCGACGGTCAGAACACTCTCCATGGTACCATTCTGGTAATCAATCAGAACCAGGGTGGGGATAGTGACTCAACCACAGGTCTCCCGGTCAGTGAACCACTCCGGATTCCAGACGATGTCAAACCCATTGATGTAGACATCAAACTACAGCATCCACCATCTCTTGAAGTCAAAACAATCACTGCCAGTTCATTTGAGTTTGGCTCCTTTCAGCATGCCATCAGCGAAAATGAGATGTATGACAAGGCGTGGTTCATGGCATCCTTTTCTACAAGGTCAAATACAACTTCAAGTGCAACACACCCTGTAGCTGCAAATGAATCTCTACACATTGATATTTCTCAACTGACTGAGCCTCTTGATAGTCAATCACCGCTTACAGAACAATCAAGTGATGATGAGACTAGCCTCCACGTCCATTCTGATCAGAACAGTGATACACAACCTGAGGACGAGCAATCTTTGGAGTCGGTTACTTCAGGTGCAACTTTTGAACATTACCTTGTTTCGGATATTGAACAGCCTATGGCAATGACAACTCCTAGTCTAGACAATTCAGGTGGGAATTCCAGAGTCCATGGAATTGAACAAAGTGAAGGAAGCACTAAAACTTCTGAAGGACCTGGTGTACACTCATCAGCCAAAGCACTGAAGAAGACAGTAGTGCCAACCTGGGCAGCCACCAATTCCTTACTCATTCAGGCACAGCAGAAAGGAAATCAATCCTTGACAAAGAGTGCGATTGTTGCTCCTCTGTTACGCCGACCTCCCACTGACTATTCATCTCTCTTTACAATCTTAAGTCTTGCTCAAGGGATATCAGCTGCTGTGGTTGGTCCTCATAAGAAAACAGTCATCACCCTTGATCTTGATTTGTATGAGAGAGCAACCAAACTTCAATCTTCCACAGGGAACAAGAACTGGATTCTTCAAATTGGTGAACTCCATGCCTGCTTCGCATCACTGCATGCAATTGCAAAATATCTCGAGGACAGTGGCTTGGAATCTATTAGCATTGAAGCAGGCCTCTTTTCCCCTTCAACGATCCGCCAAATATTCACTGGAAAGTGGTTCAAACGTGGTATTGAATTCCACATGACCAACATCATGGCGTGCTATGATCTCCTGTTTGAAGCATCAGTACATCATGAGCACTTGGACAGCATGATTAAGAAATGCGAAGAGCTTCGTAAGAAGTTACACGAGAGAGATAGTGACATTAAACAGGTTTTTGAGGAGGTAACTTCGATGATTAAAGAGCATTATCAAACCAAAATCATCCAAGAGAATGACGAGATGGCAACATTCTTACTCAACTACATGAAGCAAGTTGAGAGTTTACTGCATGTGATTCGAGCTAGCAGACAGGGGAACTGGGAGCTGCATCTCGCTTCCATGGAAGAGCAGGTCAAGTACTACTTTGCACATGACTTATACAAGTATGCTAGGCTCGTGCCAATCTACCTTCTTCAAATGCATTTGCTGAAGACATCTGGTCCTACTACTTGGGATGCACTAAAGGCAGGGGACTTCATGGTCACTAAATCTGGCATCCCATTCACGAACCTATTTGTTGACCAAACATTGGAACAGCTGATCAGGGAAGTGAAAGTAGCTGGCGGCATCACTGGAATAACACAAAATGAAGAAGCACTGGGAAGGTTTTTCCTGATTGCCCCTGAATTGGTCATCCTCATTCAAGACTTCCAAGATGCTTACTGTTGTACCACCAATGACTCTCAAACTACGAAGGAGCACTATCAGCTCAGTGATTCTGTGGCTCTTCGCATGCACAGAAATTCCTCAACAATCAAGAAAGCAATCATACGACACTGCGAGGGCAATCCATTTGAAATCAGGTCAATGAAGCTGATAAATATCTAACATGCAAGTTCTTGAAGCTTTCAAGGAGGACATTCTTGAAAGAGATGTAAAGGGAAAGATCATGTTCCAAGAATTTGTATCTGACAGAATAGTTGAGTCATCGGCCAAGAAATCTATCTGGGACCCAATGAGGAAGGCCAAACTGAAGACATTCAGCTCTTGCAGAAAGAAGACACAGTGTAAGATTGGAGCCAAGCTCGTCAAGCTAAGAGAGGATCGCCAACTTCTTGCAAGATTTCTCGTTGTTCAGCAGTCCAGACCTGGAATGATACATTCACTGGGTGACACAATTGGAAAATATGAATTTTCTGTCATTCCTAGGTCGCTATTTACCTCAGATGGCCTTCTCCTTATCCCATCAGACAAAAGCTCTTTCATCCATGCCATAGAAACCTATGGAACTGAACCGAATAGTCAGTCTGAAGACCAGATCAATGAGCAGCAAGATTCACCCAACATAGAGACATCAGGAGAAGACAAGAAAACAGACAAACTGTGCATCATCGATGCCATGGCAGTTGTCCAGGCCATAAAGAAGTCCCCATCAATGGTTGACTGCTCCGACTTTGCTGCTGCTTTTGTTAGGAGCATAAGGAAAATTGCATCCCAGTACGATGAAGCACGTGTTATCTTTGATAGATACATTGATGATTCCCTCAAGGCACAGACTAGAGGGAAAAGGACTGCAGGTATTGAACCAGTGAAGTTTGATATCAAGGACAATACCAACATCAAGCTCGTTTCACTGAAGACTCTTCTGTCTCACAACTACACCAAGTCGCAACTGACAGAATATCTTGGAAAGGCTGTTCTGCATGAGTATACAAATAGTTACAAGAACGTTGTTGTCGTCTACGGAAATGCTACATATTCCAACAAGCCAGATATGTTTGATCCAGAACTCACCCATCACACACATGAGGAAGCGGATACACTCATCCCATTGCATGTACTGGATGCTACCTCAAAAGCAGCAGAGAACATCATAGATATTGATGTTTATTCTCCAGACACTGACGTCTTTGTATATCTGATGGATCTTTGTTCTACACACAATGTCTTAGGTCGCCTTTGCTTCATCACTGGAAAGGGAAATGCGAAACGTACAATTGACATTGCTGAGAGATGTTCTGCAGTTGGTAGCGAAAAAAGCAAAGGTTTGCTTGGTCTACATGCATTCAGTGGTGCCGATTGGGGTGGTAAATTTGCAGGCATCTCAAAGAGCAGATGGATCAAGCAGTATTTGGGCCTTGACCCAGAATGTGACATAGTCCATGCATTCCAAACATTAGGTGAAGAAGACTTCAACCAGGAAAGTGTGTTATCAATCTTGGAAGACTTTGTCTGCAAGGTGTATGCTAGAAACAGCAAAGCCACAAAAGTGAGTGACCTTAGATGGGAGTTATTCAGGGCAAAAAATCTTGAGGCAGAAAAGCTCCCACCAACCCTTGGATCCTTGACACCACACATCCAGAGGGCAAACTTCGTAGCCAGAGTCAACAAGGGATACAAAGTTCCAAAACCAAAGCTGCCCCCTCTAGATGGAAATGGATGGGAGCTTTCCCCAGAAGGAACATTCAGTGCAACCAAGTGTTTAGAGCTTCCTGCGCCGAAGGCAGTCATGGAATTGGTCAAATGCTCATGTCGGAAGGAAT